TTCTGAGGCTAGGGAATTTTCTATTAATACAGTGTTTCCATCACATAGTAGTAGGCAATGTTACATCTGATTATATTTTAGTGTTTGCCTTGATTTTGATTTTTTAAAAATTTTTCCTGTCTTATAATTGCAGACACAATTGCAGTCTTCAGTTTAGATGATGTTTTTTCCTAACCCAGGTCAGTGCTCTTAAAATAAGCATTGGGGAAGTGTTAAAGACCCACAGTAATTTAGTGGACTGTTCTTTAATCCTGCAAAATATATCCTGGATTTAGAAATGAGTCTCAACCACTTTCAGCAATGAAAAAAGGAGAATTGTAATTAAACATATGTTTGTGAGTGAAATAACTTTTAGCACTATGGGTGTAAATTAAATATGCTCATGGAGTTGTGAATGAAGAGGAAAGGATTTTCTTTCTTGATTTTGTTAATGGAAGCTTAGATAAACCTATACTGTACTGTAAATGGTTACAATTGAATGACTTTGCAGTATTACTGTACCGAGTTAGAAAAGTCATAAAAAGATAAGTGGTATTTTTGTTGGTGTCTGCTGAGTCCATAGAAAACTCTGATTCTTCAAACTTTCAGAAACTGTGTTCCTACTCAGTACATCAGCTGTTTCTGACTATCTAGCTTCACTTGTTAACGAGTTTTTTCATATGTAATCTGTATAAAGTACATCAAAGAAGAATGGTTTTAGTCTTCTGTCTGTTCTGGAACTGTTTCATTTCCAGCACTCATTTTGGACAATTAACATAATTTTAAAAAATGCACTGGCCCTAAATGTAATCCCTGTCTCCTGTGTCTCAGAAAGTGACTTACAAGAAGCAGCAGGTACTTGGAGGAAACTTTAGGAATAAATACAGCATATTGCTGAAAAACCTTGTTTTGGTATCAATTGCTTTAGGTAAGATACCAAATTGATACCAATTGATAGGAAATATTTAGATAATATTTCCTATCAGTAACTGATAGTATGATGGTAACATAATAATAAGCTTAATTATTTTTTTAAATTTCCTCTCTACTTTTTACATTATTCATTACCATGTCATTCTGCCAGAGACAACGAGAAATAAACAAACAAACCTGACTGTCAAACAGGAGTAATACTAATGATTCTACTTATTATCTAAGTTGAGAGTGGTTAAAAGTAAAAATTCAAAAGTACATGGAATAGATTCCTCTAGAATAGTATGGTGTATTAATAGGAAGATGAGATTTTGTATTTAAAATTCCCTCTTTGTGACATCCACTGAAACAAACTTGCTGTCCCTTTACATTCTAATGTAAAAGCTTTTTCACAGGTCTAATTTTTATTATTACCACCTATTACTGCTTGCAAGGATAAACCTTCTGGCATATCCTGAATTTCTTGAAATAAAAGTGTAGCATTTATGTCACATGCAGAAATGTAGAAGGTGTTGTGGGTTTTTGTGGTTTTTTTTCCTTTTTAATGTTGGAGTGTTGTAAAAATGAATGTATGAATTCTGGGCAAAAAAAGTTGGGAGGAAACAAGGCAGAGGCCTCCTATTTTCCCCAACCAAGAAGTGTATCTTTTGCATATTATCCTGATATTTGCAGGTGAAAGCAGCTGAGCTGACAGTGCTAATGAACAACAGCATGAGTTCAAACCAAGGAACTTCTTTCACATTTAGAAGTGCATGTTCAAGAATATGTGCAGGTCTGCAATCTTTTTTATGGGAAAGAAGGCTTTTAGGAGTGAGAGGTTTGGGTAAGGATCTAAGTGATTTGTGATACATTAGGCACGTTATGAGATTTAATTATTGCTTTTAGAGCTTTGTGAGGACGCAATGTAAGCATTAAGTGTAGTACTTCTGTCTTTTATGCTGAAACACAGTATACAAAATAATAAGTTTTAACGGTATCACATTGCAATTGTGTAGTAGCATAATTAATAATTTTCTGATTCCTTGATAATATTGGAAATTTTGTATGAATGTCCACACATAAAATCTACCCTTTGACTTTTAAAAATTGCTTTAATGGGTTTTCTAGCCATTACTTACATGTCATGGGAGATATTATCTCGAGATTGGTGGAGACATCCTCCATTTTTTCCTCTTGATTATAGGCAACCATGAGTTATACAGACCACACAGCTTTGCAAGTGACAGGCCAGTAGGAAATGAAATACAATAAATAAATAAATAGTGTGGGTTTGTGTTAGGATAGACTAATGTATGTATGCCATCTGTAGTATTTCTAATAGGAGTGAAATCTTCAGATTTTTCTAAATAAAATGTGAGGCTGCCTGTGCTACACAAGAGACCTCATTCTTAATGGATGATTTTTGTGATTACTTGTTAAGATTCCTAATAATCTAATTTCAGAAGGGCCTCAGCCCAATTCTTATTCATTGCTTTATTTGTCCACATCTTGCATGTTCCTAATGGATTCAGAAACAAGGAACAATGGTGGTTTTACTTACATAAGGAATTTTAGTCACAGCATAGCTCTTGGTCATTGAAGTTTATAAAAATACAGGATTCTTCCAATATGCAAGTAAGTTCTGCTAATAATGTTTCAGAAAGAATGGAACAGACAAAGCATGTGGAGCCAAAGAAATCTGTTAGAGGAAGATTTTGTAGCCTGAGTACTTTCTGAGAAACTGAAAGAGAAGACCCAACTGAAAGATAAAACCCATTATCTAATTAAAGGAATAACATTTACATTAAATTTTAATTAATTTTGATTTCCTAAGCTAATAGTCAGAAAACTAATTTCCAGTTCTGAACAGAGATAAAATTGTGTAAATTTACCCATTACAAGACCATGTAAAAGCCTTCTAAGAGTTAGTCAGAGGGGATTTATGTAAAACTAGTAAGGTGCCCATATTCTACCTTAATTACAAAAACAAATAAAATTATTCTTCCTAGCTAGGGGCTGAAATCTGAAATTTCATTAACGTTTGGAAAGATGGTGCATTTTTTACTGTTTCTGTAGAATAGAAAATCTACTAATTACAGTTAGGTGGAAGATTGTGATGTAGCTAGGCAACCAGAAGAATTGGGCATTCTTACATCTATGCCATATTGCACTTACTAGTGATAGCTTTCCAAATTTTAGATAATTCATTTTCAGTGGATAATCTCTGTCTGTCTCTACCTCTCATTCTGCCTTCCTTCATCCGTTTTTGTTAGGAAATGCAACTAATCTAAACAGCAATAGACCAGTTTTCTTGATCAACTTTTAAAAATTATCTCATCATGGACCCCAAAGAAAGGTGCACCCTGAGATAATAGTAGAAAAACTTGTTATTTTTGGGTTATTTTGCCAGCTGTCTGTATGCTGGTGAGTGCCAATAAAGAGCAGTCATGTGTCATATAATGGCAGGAGCCTAGATATGATTTCCTTGAAGTTCCTGAAGCAAGCCTTACAACTATGATTTTTGAAGAAAAAATTCTCTGTTTACCCACTACTTTGTCTGTGTCTTCATCTAAATGGGGAAAATTCCATGCTACCCTAAAAGTTCTTGTGTGGAGCTGTTCAGGTTTTTCCAGGTGTGTTGGCAGTGCACAGCCTGGCTCTGTATGAAAGCCATTTTAAGACAATGTTATACATATTTGTGCATACTCTGAGTTTTGTCCTGAAGTTATTAAGTGAATTTCGCTGGGTCTTAAGTAGGACAAGTATTCTAGCCTATTAAATTTTCTCCTCCATTTTAATTAGGGAGTTCTGGTGAAATAGCATGTTCTACTTAGAGAGAAACAGCTGGTCCAGAACAGCACAGTTTAATTAGAGTTGGATGCATTTTGAAAAAGTACTCAACCATGGAAGAGGGGTACTTGGAGAAAACATAGGATTGTGTCATCACACTGGAAATTTCTCAGGAGGAAATGAGTCATTAACCTATCCTAGTGTTTTGCACAATCATTGTTATTATTGTGAGTGTGATTGTCTGTACCTGTGAGTTAGTATGAATATTTAAGTTTCATGTAATGACTGGATGCTGAATCTGTTGTGTATAACTGAAACAGAGTAAACACAAGTATGATTTTGCATGTTTTAAATAGATAAGAGGGATTAAAATAGCATTCTGGTGATAGGGTTAAGAAAAATTCCTGAAGGTAAAAATTTATTCAGCTGGTATGCATGATGGCTATCAAGTTTTATTTCATGGCAAGCAGTCATTTGAGATTTGACTGTGTTGGTACATAGTCAGAGTTAGGTGGGCCCCTTCACAACTTGCACCAGCAAGTTAATAATAGTCAGTGTAATAACTAGTGGTAGGTGTTCTGTAGGTGGTTATTTCTGCAGGCCTCCACAACTGTGCATCATTTACTGTAAGGTTTTTACTTTCTATATACAGTATTTTGGTTGATAGTATGTTAAATTAGGATGTTGGTGTTCTTTCTATGCAGTTGGCTAGTGTTTGCATACTCTCATTAATAAAAATTTTCAGAGCTCAGAATTAATCTCTGTCTAACTGGGCTGTATCAGACAAATTGCTGAGAGTTTCTCTTAAAAATGAAGTCTCTTTACATGTCCTGAGTAGAACTGGAGTTATCCTAGGTATTGTTTTCATCAAATGTGCCCTACATACTGCCATATATGTAGTTGTAAACTCAAAAATAAGAGTTAACTAAATCTAGATACCTGGTGCAGATAAGAGGAAAATATTTCACAGATCTATATAGATAAATATCTGTTCATTCTAAATATCACTGTTCTCTGGTGATCAGAATTCCATACTTTCTCTGTTTTATTAAGGACTGCAAATCATTCATTTTGCAGCAATTTTAAAAACTTGAGTTGGTTTTTCTTTGTGTGCTATGGGATTTTTTTTTTTAAAGCCAGAATACCAGTACCATCTTTGGAGAAAGCAGAAGCCTTTTTCTATTTTTTTTTCCATTTCTCAATCCATTCATTGCTCACTGTGTGGTTGCTGAATTCACAGTGGTGTTTTGTGGGAAACACAGAATGATTTTTAATGCTGTTTTTATTTCTCCTTTTTCTTTTTATAACTGCCTTTTCAGAATTCCCCACTGTACCAATATCTGCAGGATTTGGGACACACAGATTTTGAAGTATGTTCCTCAGTGTCACAGAAGGCAGAGCAATGTGCAGCAGCAGAAAGCCAAAGGGAGCAGACTGTGCGTGCTGCCCAGAAGGTGAGCAGTTTCCTGTTGCTTAGTATTTATCTTCTCACAAGAGAACTGCATTGCTTCACAAATAGGAGAAATCAGAACAGAGAGAAATCACTTCCTCTATTTAAAAATACAAAGGCAAAAACCCCCAGACAATGAACCTCAGCCCTTTATCATATCTGGAAGTTGTGGTTAATCAGTATAATTTGGAGTGTTTCTTTGCACTCACATAAGCTAGGGAAGCAAGAAGATTTGATAAATAATTTTTGAGTGTTAAAAATTATCTTATGTAGTGGATCTTATTATGTTAGCTTAGCATGATGTTCTGGGAATAGAACCTGTAATTTTCTAGAACAGAATATTTATAGTTTCCAGCACTTCCCAAGCATTCAGTTGCTAAGTATAGCTTTGTCTGTGACACAACATATTAAGAAAGAGGATTTCTGGAAAGTAGAAATGCAGTAACCAATTTGAATGAGATAGGTGATGTGGATAGCTATTGCATTTCTAATAATGATTGCTTCTATCACTGGTCACAAAGCAAGGCTGAATTTAAATTGGGATTTAGCTCACCATTTTCTTTATTTTGAGCTACCTTTAAAAGTATTCTTGGAAATATTAGGTCTACTACTTTTGCTTTTCAAAGTTGTCAGCTGGGACTCACCATAACGCTCAAGAAATCACCTGAAAATATGTTTTCTCTTTAAAGTTAATGGCTGGTTTGTGGTATGTTTACATTGAAGGTACCTATTCTACCTTAGTGTAGGAAGATTTTGATTAAGTGTTCATTTGTTTGTTTATTTATTAAATATTTACATTTTTTCACTGTTAATTTAAAAAATAGGATGACATTTCATTGGTTGATACTCTGTTGGTTACTATGAAGTAATGCATGGACTGTCAGCTACATTATTTTGCATAGTTACTTTTGTGGCAGTCAGCAAATCAGTATGATATTATGTTTGTGTATATAATTTCCAGTGAGTTTTATACAAAAGTGCTGTGGGGTTAAGAACCTCAAAAGTATTCAGATATACTGCTTTTAAAAACCACAGGTATTCTGGTTTTTTCCCCTCTCTTCCCCTCAAGCATTTTACACTTTATTGTGTTGGCAGCAATTCCTCCAGTATTGTGTCAGATGTAGAAGTAATTTTTCATGGTTTGCCTTGCAACTTGAAGGGAGTGGGTGTGTGAAAATGGGCTGTCCATTTCTTACAAACACTGGGTGATGTTCACATTGTCTCATCTCTGTCTAGACAAGGATACATAGTGGAAATGAGGAAAAAACCTGTGTGTAATTTTTAGTGATCAATTGTCAGAGATTCTTCCTGCTGCAATTCCAGTACCAGTTGGGAAGAGTTAACATTTCTCTTTTGTAACCTGATGTCAGAAAGTCTGTTTTTGTCATTTGATTTCTGTGTCCCATTTTGGTAGGGTGTCTCAACCGGAAAGAAATGAGGGAGAGGCAGCTGGCCACACATTTAGAAAAGTAGACTGCATTTAGGAGGATCTGAGGCTTTGTTGCAATGTTTTTATGACATACAGACAAATAATTTGCATTCCTATCCAGTAATTTCCTCAGTTTTACATGAGACTGTTACCATTTCCCTTCTCTTGGCCTTCACTGGCCTAGTCTACTGAAATGATAAAATGTCTGGAAAATAAATGGTTTCTGACTTCTGAAAATGTACCTACCCACAGTCCTAATATAAAATGATCTTCCTTGAGGCTTGATGTAACTATGATTACAGGGAGCAGATGCTGTTCCACACTGACTGATTCCCAGTATGTATATATCACTTTCCTTCTGTTCTGAAAAGCAAGTTTCCAAATGCCTTAAGCACTTTATTAAAATAAGAATGTAAAAGCTGAAGTCTTGCCTTGTCTTTGAGTTGTTTCCTCCTCTTTTGTTCAGTCAAGTGGGAACCCTGTGCAGCTGAAAAGCAGGTGACATGCAGCAAGAATCTGGCACAGCAAAGGTCTGCTTTGGGATCTTCAGAGACTGACAAAACAATCTGAGGAGAAGAAGGGGTTCCTAGTTACTGATACAAATGTTTCTCTTGTGTCTTGCTGTCCTGCCAAGCAAAGTGTGTGGTTCAGCTCTAAGGAAACGCAGAGGCACCAGTTGAATTTGAAGCAAATCTTAAATACTTCTCAGGACATGTAGTTTTGGTGGTATTTTTTTGGCCTTTTTTTTTTTTTAAATTGGAATATGGTCTAAATAAACTGTGAATTAAAAAGCTGTAAAGGTGTTTTAAGGCTGTGTTCTAGAGGCTGATGAAATGCCAAGCTCCCATCTGGGGATTATGGATGTGTGATTTAGCATAGTAATTGTAGGTGCAGTGTTCCTGGCTGTGCCAGTCTCTGGAGAAAGTTACAGCTGTAGTCCTGGTCTCATGATCACCTGATACTCAAAAGCACTGCTAGTAAGAGGTCCTAGACTTGTTTTCTGGAATTTAATCTCATTTGGGTAATTCTGCTTAATCTTTACAGAATTTATCACTTCCTATTTACATCTTTCCTTTCTCAGCCATGTTCCTAGACTGCTGTGCATATCTGAATGTTTAAATTGATTATACTGACATACCTTGTCCCACCTTAGATATGATGATATTTTTCCATTAGAACAGAGCTGGTGCTGGAGGCAGCTTCTGAGAGTTGTGTTGGGGCTAGCTGTGAGTAGCTGTGCAGGTGACCTGATGTGGGATGGCAGAGGGACCAGTCCTTTGCCTTTGTCCCACCCACTTAATGCAAAGTATTCAGTGTGTAGCATTAGCTTCTTCTGAAGAACCTCTCTACAAAAGAGAAATAGTCCTTAGAATTATTTTTTAGATTCAAATTAATTTACCTAAAATGTGCATGCTAATATTTTTTTAAATGTTAGGAGTTATACATCTTTGTTGTTTAGTTTACAGAGAGTTTGACTGAGTGTTGTTCTAAAGCTGTAAGAATACTCTGGAAGCCCTGGCAACATGACCTGACTTGTGTGTTGCTGGAAGTAGTTTTACTTGTCAGTAACACTCCCAATGGGAATGCAGACTGTGAGACACTATTCCAGGGATGTGAATAATTCAGTGTGTTGCTGTACTGTATTGGGTCACAGCCCAAGACAGTGGGTTGTCCTGTTTTGTATTTTCAAGCACTGACTTGCCTGTTGAGTGTTTATGCAAGCTCAGATCTTTATTTTTAAACTAAACCATGGAGAATAAACTAAAAGATTGCTTATGTAGCACGCTAGGTTTTTTTTCAGTAACTCCACAGTCTAGTTTAGTAAGGTGGTAGGAGTGTAAAACTATCCTTGGTGTAGCTTTAAATGTTCATGATAAAAATCCAAAGACTTACAAAGGCTAAGCAGTTGAAAATTATAAGATCTAAGAGGCAAATTCTTAAATTAAATGGATTACTCTTTCCATACCCTGCTTTCAATGTACAGGGAAAAGTACTTTTCACTGAAATACCTGTCTGAAATTCAAATGCAGAGCAAGACCTTTGTTAATTTGATTTCAATTTTCAACAAATTGTAATTAGAAAATTTTACTTCCTTTTGCACTGCTCTACAAGAAACTTGAAGGATGATCTTGTGCTGCAGTTAGTGACATTCTTCTGACTTATGTAATTGCCCTTGAGCAACATCAAAATACAATCACTTGGATTTATTCCACAGTCTTAAGTGTGAATTGCTGGGATAGCTCCTCCTGCTAAGCCACAATGATGTCAGTGTTTCGGGAAGAGCTGTCATTATGAGATCCCTGCTATTGGTTTGCCTCTTCACTGACCCAAAAACACTTCCTTGTGGCATAGATCTCAAACTCAAACTGTACACAGAAAGATGAGATATTTGTTAAGAAAAGCTTGAGTTAGCTTACTTAAATGGGCACTAAAATAAGTTATTTCAAAAACTGTTGAAGCACAAGGGCTTTAGGGTGATGGTTCCTTATGTTAAGGCTGTTTTGCCCTGCCTTGCTGCACCAGAGTGGTCACACTGCCTTTCAGAAGGCTGCCAGGCTGATCACAAAACTCTGAGCTCCTCTTGCTCGAGTTTGTTCTTCTATTTCCCACTTGTAGTGGAGGGGAAAACCGAGAAAAATACAAACAAGAGGGGAACAAAAAATGGAAAAAAACCCAAACGAGGGAGAAACAGAAGCTGTCACCTTTTATACATTGAGGTATTAGAATCTGTATGGGTTGGGTTTTTTTATTATTTTGAAATAGTATGCCACAAAATGTAGGCATTTCACAAATAATTTTTTTAACATACATTTTACCTGATTGTATTACATGTCAGCAGTCTGAAGACTTGAGACAGGGCCTCAGAATTCATGAAATACATATATAACTAAATATTTTGAAAAATACTTCCTGTCAGTTCAGTCTGAGGAAAGTAGATAGAATGGTGTGTCAAAAGCTGTGCTTTTTTCTTCATTGAATGGCTGCAGACTTAAGCAAAACCATGCATCCATTCAGTTATAATCTGTCATGCATCTTGTTTTAGGAAGATACATGTGTAGAATGTGTGATGAATGAGAGGGAGTCTCTCTATTAATGGCATCTTAAGTTACATTTATAGCTCAGACAAAAGTGCGGATTTAGGTTGTGTGGAAAGCAACACAAAGTACCTGGTGGTGCCCACTGGTGTGGACAGGGAGTTTTGGGGGCATTTCCTCCTCTTACCATCACTCTTCCTGTCTCTGTTTACAACCCCTCTGGAGTTCTGCTCAGGCTGCAGTGGGCTGCTGAGGAGAGGTTGTCCCTGTTCTGGTCTTTCACTTCTCTTCAGTCTACCAGTCATTTAGCCTTTGGGTTTTTATCCCCCAGGAGAGAGAAAATCTTTCCTATGAATGGAGTAGCTGCCAACTTGAGATCAATATAATCTTAGCTGTAGTTATTTTTAACAGAACAGCATAACAATCCATTATACTCCAAATAGGTGGGGTTACTGAAGGTTTTATTTTATTCTTCTGTTCACAAGCATACTGACAGGAAGCAGATGTTCTCTTAGTGTACTCTGAAGTTAGGCCAGACACAGTAAGTGAAACTTCCTTACAGGTACTTGGGTCTGAATTAACAAGAAAATCAAATGCAGAAGTAAAGGATTTGTCTGCTGTTATTTATTTAACTTTGGCTTTGGTTTTTGGTTTGTTTTTTTAATTGGAATAATTTCTGTTCCTTTCAGCAAGGTATCCTGTCAAAACTAGTTGAGTTTTTTAGAAGCTGGTTTCCTTTTCCACAGTATAAGAAAAATGATGACATACTTCACCGACTGGTAAGTGATCACTTTTTTTATTTTTCCATTTCCTTTCCTAATCCACAGGTCTTCCTCTCCTCTGTATCTCATCCTCTGAACATCATCTTTGGTCTGTATTGTTGGTTTTGGCTCTAAGAGTATTACTTATTCTTTAGATGATACTAATTCTGGTTTTCGGTTACTGTGCCAAATTGGGCACAAAAGGACAGGAACAGTATCAGTATCTGGGTTAAAGATGTTCAAAATGTGGAAGATAATAAAATATTTGAGAAATTTAAGAAATTATTGAAAGCTGAAATGAGTTTAATTGCAGTGTAGGTTCCCCTTTGGTGGAAGGCAGTGGGGAGACTGACTGAGAAAGTCCTCATGTTGTAGCCTAGTGCCTCAGAGAGACCACCTGAGACAGAAAGTTCTAGAGCTTCAACTGTATATTGCTTCACCCTCTGTTTCAGCTTGTTGGCTCAGGCACAGCCCCACCACAGTGCAGCTCTACTGCCCCAGGACCCATCCTGGCTTCTTTGTTCCTACACTGCTCTCTACAGGGCTTCTGCCTTTGGGAAAGGCAAAGCAAACTTTGTTTGCTCCTTCTCTGCAGCACCACTTTCCAGTCTGAGCTTGTCTCAGATCTGCTTTAACTTGTACCCAGCTCCTTCATGCTCCTAGTATGGCTTGCAAATGTCACTTCAGACTGTTCCAGAATCTAGAATTTTGATTTATTTTTTTCTACCATGATGTAGGGATAATGGTTTCAAGTGGAGCTTCAAAAGAAAACACTGAGCAACATGAGATGTTAGAATTTTCCATTTCTCACAGTTCTGCTGTATCTCAGTTCACCTTATCTCAGGAGGACATAATTTCCTCTGAAAAATTAGTGATCTTTGATTAACTTTTTTTCTTCCTCCCTCTTCCCCTATGAATCAAGGGTATTAACAGCAATTTTTAGCCTTACTTTCTTAAGATGGAGGCATAACTGAAGAACATGGAAAACATGTTTGTCCTGCTGCACACTCCAGCAGAGTACTGAAATGACACAGGATGCGTCGGAGGAGGGCAGAGTTTCCTTTTGCACACAGTCCTGAGACAAATGTTTTCCATTAAAAGTAGAATGAAAGTTATCTGAGGTGACATCTGTGCATGGAATTAAATTTCTCAACTAGCTATCTTATGGTTTCATAAAGAATCTCATTCTGTCAGTGACAGAATGAAACAGATTTTGTACTGTGAAATGTCACATTTATGTTAAAAGTTTCTATGAGAGACTTTTCAGAAATAGTCTCTTTCCTCTCCTGTACTTGGCTAGATTCAGGGATGCACATGTTCCGTGTTTGTTGGGTTTTGTTATGACATTCTTAACTTGAAGTAATTGTGGTTTGGTGCAGTATGCAAATAAAAATTTCAGGGGGCTACTCTGATGGTATTTGTCTTCATGAGCTCCATATTTGTCTTCAAGAGCTATAGTTGGGGCAAAAGTAGCAAATGCTAATGGCTTAAAATTCTCAGCCATGTAACTCCCTAAAGCTTGCCTGAGGTTTAGCAGGTGGGAGGTCCCCATGCTGTTTCATGTTTGGATGGAGGTCCCTTGGGAAAGGTACAGAATCCTGCAGGAGGGTACTCCACTGCCTTGGCTTGAGGCTTCGATCCAGTGCTGACGCTGTTGTTATTGTGTCCACATGTGACATTTGTTGACTAATTAGCAGTATCTCTCTTTCTCTCTATAAGTTTTGTTTGTTTGTTTGTTAATGATATAAATGATGTCATGACACTAAAAAAAAAAAGTAATTTTCTGGTTTTTTAATTGGCATACTCTGCGGTGTGTTTCCAGTTATTGTTACAATCTGGGTCAGATCACAAAGTCAGTGTGATGCATCCTGCAAGCCTGAACTGTTAGGTAGTGTGTGAGCTTTAAAGGTTAAATAAGTTTAATAAAAAAGTAGCTACTTGTGCTATATCTGAAACATTTCCCTGCTCTGGGAACAGATTGTTGTCAGTAAAGTGTAGGGTGTGTGGGTGTTTTTCTTGTTCTGCTGACTTAATTTCAAGAATTTGCATATTCTTTACTAATGCCTGGTTTTTCTCCTGCTCATTTGTATGTGGTAAGGACGTTGGATTTCGATTTGACACGCTCCGTACCATCCTGCAACAGGAAGTTCTGCTGCAGGAGGATGTGGAACTGATTGAATTCCTTGACCCCAGTATCCTGTCTGCAGGGCAGTGTAAGCAACAGGAAAACAGACAGCTTCCAACGCTACGCTCCCTAGCAGCTCCTAATATTTGGTATTGTATTGAGGATATCTACCATTATAGTCACTGAGAAACAAGCAAAAAATATATTGTGCATTCTTGATATAAAATGCAAGATTAAAGTAACTATATTTTTTTCTCATGTCCTTGGGTCTTTATTCTACTGGTCCCCAGATTTTTGTATAAGTGTATGTATTTTTTCCATTGGGCATTTTATTGAAAGAGTGAATTTTAATCTGAGGTAACTGCATGAATATGAATGAATACTCCCTGACTAATATATTCTATAAGAAGGAACTGGCATAGTTGATGAAGTAATTAAGTTCTGAAGCTATTTAGAGGTGATTTTGAAAATGAGACATGAGTGTGAAGACTGAATTAAAAAGTGTTTATTTTGGTGTGGTCTTTATAAAATATGTTGTGTGTGAAGCAGCAGTATCTGAACAGCTACCACCTGTATTTAAAAAATAACAATGCCAGTGGTTGTTCTGACAGTGTCTTGCTTGGAAATGTGGTAATCATTAGGAAAAAATATCACATAATATGGGTCAGTGCTATTTTCTCATATATACCCTAAAAAAGTAGACAAAATTATTACAGAGCTGTTTAAGTTGTGTCAATATCGATGCTCTCTGTCAAACGAGAACTTTTGAACCAGATTTTTCTGGTCCTGGCATTATTCAGTTTCTTTAACTTTCAGCTGATAAAGTACACTTACAAAATGTGTGAATGTTGTTCACCTTCCAGATGACATCAAATTTGTGTTTTCATTGACCAGAGGTCAACAGTAGCTTGGAGAAATACCTTGAAAATGGTAGAAAATTCAATAAAGACAAAAGTTTAATGCTACACTTGGGAAGGAAAAGTCAAGTTAAGAAACACCAAGTGATGAATAACTGGGTATGCAGTACTACTCCAGGAAAGGATCTGCATATCTCTGGGATGGAACAGTGTTATGATATGTACAAGGTGGTGATCAGTCATCATTTGTTCTGTTCAGAAAAGGGAAGGATATGAGGAAGAATAATGCAATTAATCTGCCTGTGATTCAAACTGGGACTTGGGGGAAATCTTCTGAACTCTAAGGATACTTAGGAGTTGGAATAGCCACGACATTGGTTGTGGAGTCTCCAGTTTCATCTTTGGCCTGTCCATGATGATCTAGGTTAACCAACCAGAAGCTGAAAATGAACAAAGTGAGCTGTTAAATCCCTTCTAGTCTTTCATTGTTGTGATTTTATTTATTTGTGGTACTTTTTTTTTTTTTTTTTTTTTTATGTACCAAGGAGGTTAGAGACTGTGTGTCTGTCCCTTTCAGAGGTAGTTACATATTTGGAATATTTTAACCCTGAATTTTTACTGAAACCTTTCAGTAGCCAGAAGCCTTAAAGAGTTAACACTTGTAAAGCTGGTTGAAATTTGACCACAAAACTGTCCGGGATATAGAAACGCAGAGATTGTGCCTAATTTTAGAAATGGAAAAATATTCCAAGTCTATACTTCCAAACCTAAATGCAGGATACACAGCTTTAAGGGATGAAGGAAAAAAATGTTTTTCATTGAAAACATTCTGGAAAAGTATAGTTGTAATGCACCTTGAAGCTGGTATCCCATCCATCTCTCTGAAGAGTGTGATTATTTTACAAAACCATGTAGTAATATATATGAAACACAGTGTATTTTCTAGCAGTTACTTATTTATATTGAATTTTTATAGAGGAAAGTAACAACTGTATAAGCTTTTTAAATGTCTTTGAGAAGTAACTGAGATACTAGGAAATCTATTCTTTACGGACTTTCAAAAGGTGCCAAATTTTTTAAAAAGATTATTTAAGCCATCTTTATAAAATTGTGTTAGAAACTAGTGGTGTATTGGTGTCCAAGTTAAATGAGTCAGACTCTAGAAAAAATACAGCTGGCACTAATTGAGGTATTTGCTACCAAAAGAAACATGCCCTTCCCTACTGTACTCTTGAACCTGGAAGTACAGATATTACAGTTCCTACACGCCCTGGTTTATAATGCTGAGTAGTCAGGTTTTTTCTTTTTTTAATTTTCTTTTCTATTTTTTTAATGTCATGTAAGTGTGTAAGAGAAACTGACCTTTCCAAGTGGTACATTACTCTCCTACTCATGCTGTAAAAAAGCTGAAGAAAGGTTTCCTTAGAGTTTACCAGCCAAGTAATATCATGTACATATTCATCTAAACCTGTCACAAGGAGTAGTTTTCAGTGTTTACAGCTCCCATCAGGACCTACATAAAAGCCCCACAGCAAGATCTTGTAATCTCAAATGTAACTGAGAAGTTGGTCATTTTCCCACCTGTTTCCCTGAGTAATGTGTGGTGGGGTGCTGTCTCTGTTTGCAGGGATGTCTCGCTGTTCCTTGCCTGTGTGAGCGCGCTGCTCGTGTTTCCTTCGTGGTGGGAGGAATCCTCGTGGCTGCTGTGCGCGCCCCTGCTGCTCTATGCAGCCGCCAGGGCGTGGGGCACGTGGAGGACGGCCAAGCTGCAAATGTCCCTGCGAAAACACTGCATGCAGCTGGAAGAAACAGTGGCCAATAGCCGGGCCTTCACCAACCTCGTCAGGAAAGCTCTACGGCTCATTCAGGAGACTGAAGTGATTTCCAGAGGATTTACCCTGTGAGTCTATATTTCACTTTACTTAGCACACAGATCCATACAAACCAGCTGTTGTCTAAAATTGTCTTGTTACACTGTCTCTCATAACAACTGGAATTACTGGAAAACATAATACTTAAAGGTTTTAACTTACATGAAGTAGTATAATTACCATTCATAGTAAAAGTATGAATTCTAACATCTCAGTGTTAAAACCCCACATCCTGAAGATGAATTAAGTCTCACAAAACTCAGGTGCCTTGGAATGTCCTGCATTGCTAGCAATGAAATATATGAAGAAATAGACTTTGAACTAAGTTAACTATTTTGGAGAGTCATTTAGAGAGTTTATCTTACATTACCAAATTGATGTAAATAAACTGATCTGCAAGTAATCACTCATATTTTACAAAACAGGATGACATGAAAACCATTCTATTTTTATTTAACAAATATGTCTGAAGTAATGAAAACACAGTAATCAGGAAAAACCATCAAACATCATTTCCCACCTCAAGTAAAGTTAACATTAGTCTTTTTTTCTTGCATACAGTTGTTGAAACATTTAGATTCTTAAGTTACTTACTGTTGAATTTGCCTCTCTTCCACTTAAGAGATGCAAAAGTGTTTCTGATTATTCAGCTCTTGTAGTTACTTGAAAAGTTTTGCTGATTTGCTGTGTGAAAGGACATCAGAAAGTCTTCAGTGTATGCAGTGATTCCAAAGCCAACAGGCCTGTTTCTGTGCACTCTCATTGCCATGGATGCTTTTGCATTGTAACCACCTATGATGAATCCATGTGTGCCAATTCTGCTTAAGGCTAAAGGAGGTGGGAAACACCAACACCTAAAATACAGTCAGCTTCTTTCTAAAAGAAAATGAGAAGTTCCCTTGTGGCAACAAGATGTTTCTTCATGCCAGACCAACTATTCTAAATTTAGACACGTTCTTACATGCAAGTGTGCAACTTTAGATTTAAAATTCTGGATTAATTTTTTAGCTTGAGATACCTTCAGTGTATTTCACTGAAGAAATGTTTAATTCTGCCTTTGGAATGCATAAGCATGTCTTCAGTCTGCCTAGCTATGTGGTTTTTGTTTTGGTCTGGATTTTTGCTGAAGAAGCATATACTTGAGCAATAGGCAGTCTTATCTTTGCAAACGAGTTCTTAAAAGAAATTATTGTTCGGGCTTGTCCAAATTACAGATGAGAAAAACATTTGGATTTTTGCCTAAGTTTAAGCAAACGAACTTGTGGTCAATGTCTAAATTGCCCCTGCCTTGTTCTTTTACTACATATCTTAGATAACAGATTAACAAAAAACAGACTGGTCTTTAAGCTTATGCTTGATCTAATAGCTTCTTTACTTGAAACTTTGGCAAGCTTTTCAAAAGATTTGGGTATATGGATGGAGTGGGAGAAGTTTGACTGTGCCAGCATCCTCACTGGAACAACTGTACAGTATAAAGAAGTCAATGCTGTACAAATTTTGGGTTGGTTTAGCCTAGAGGAACTTCTAACTCCAGAGTGACCTTTTCTGCATCCACATATGCAAGAGATGCTGCTGCACAGGGCAGTGTGAAATTCTTTGCTTTGAGTACCCCTTGGAGTATGATCCAAAATGCTAGATTTCCCTTTTTTTTTTCCCTAGAATTTTCTACAGTAAACCAGCAGAACAAAGTTTAGTATTTTCTCCTGTAGTAAGGTTATCAAATCTTAGTGCTTTTTCAGAAGGAGTCTCATGGCAATAGAAATGGTTGCATTTCAAAAGTTACTGAGTATCCTCTTGTATTATTTTACATCCAGAAGGAATGAGATTTCAATGAGGTGCAGCATCCTGGTCAGTGTTACATGTGCAGCTGTTTTAAGGTACTGCTAATTCAGCACAGGCCTGTGCATTGACCATATTGTGAGTGGAAAGATACTGCAGCTGTTATTTAAATAGTGCCAAGTTCAGACTTTGACTGCTTGTACTTAGCTAAACTCTGACAGGGCAAGTCCGGGTCTGCAGCTTTGGCCTGAAGTTCCTCATGCTCCACTGCTGGTTTTCCTCCCCATGACACCATCCATTGCTGTTCTCATAGGTTAATTTATACATCCATTGAGATATCTATGGCTTTGCTTTATTCTACCCTATTTGCCCCTTGTTAATTGATACTGGACTGTCTCTGTAAATGGTAGATTATTACTGATGAGGTTTTGGTCAGTTCTCTATAGGTTAAGTGGTTTATTACTGTGTGGTAGTGCCTGCTCTACTCAAATAGATAGTTAAACATCCTTTTGCTTTCATTCACCTCCAGTAAAACTGACTGCAGCCACAGGAACCAGAACAGGAATCAGATCAGGAACTAAGAACTTGAGGGGGGAGCTTGGATTAGATGGCCTCCAGTGGTCCCTTCCAATCTTAACTATTCTGTGATTCTGTAATCCTGTCAGGCTTCTCTTACATTAGCTGCTCTCAAAGGCAACTTGATTTTCTGATTCCAGCCTGGCCTTTGGAAGTGTTTAAAGCTCTGTTGGAATCTCAGGTGTGTCTGCTTGGTACCAGCTCTGTGAGGCTGAGACCTCACCTGGCTGACTTGGATTACAGAAATTGTATAGCAAAGGTAGGGCAGTATTTCTGTCTAATTGCTTCATTTGCAATTGGCTAAATGAAGCCTGATCACAGGTTGCAGCCTGGAATTTCTGGAGGGTAATGAAAGTATACCCATTATCTTGCACATCATAAAACAAGAACTGAAGGAATACATAATGGAAGGCTGCAGCAGTAAGCAGCAAGTATTTATTCCCTTGCTTGTCACCAAAATCATTAACTTCTTTTCTGAAATGCTCCCTTTTTATTGTATTTTGAACTTGAATTGAGCTCTGTGAACTTAATACATATGGATGTTTATTAGCATCTTTAGAGAACTGCTTTCATGGTGGAGTGCAGTAATAGATTTTTATTAATGTCTTTATATAAACTTGTTAAAAGTTGAAAGCCAATTTAAGATTTGGCTTGTAAAATTAATGAACAAACATGATGTTCTATACAGTAAAATGGGTTTGGAGCTGTAGAAAAGGGGAAATTCACCCTTAAACTTTCTTTGCTTCTTGCTACTTGTGGCTGATATGCAAAGCTGATAACATTTTGATAACTTGTAAGTCCACTTAAAATAGATAGAGGATAAGAGAGAGACTTTTTACAAGGGTGTGTGCTGATAGGACAAGGGGGAATGGCTTTAAACTGAAATAGGGCAGGTTTAGACTAGATATTAGGACAAAAATTCTTGACTGTGAGGATGGTGGGACAGATTGTTCAGAGAAGTGGTGACTTACCCATCCCTGGAAGTGTTCAGGGCCAGGCTCTATGGGGCTTTGAGAAGCCTGGTGGAAGGTGTCCCTGCCCATGGCAGGGGGTTTGGAATTAGAGGATCTTCATATTCCCTTCCAACCCAAACCATTCTGTGATCTGTGAAGATAAATGAAACATTAGGAATTTAGGGATATGACATGCCTGACAGAAAGACATATAATAGATTCTACTAATTAAATTAGTCAAATAAGGAAGATTTTTTTTATAAAAAGCACTGAAACAATCCATTCCAGAAGGAAAGCAGATTGTTGTGCTGCATACTGGCAGTACATGCTGTGCTTGAGTTATGCTATATTTGTTCTCTATAGGAGCTGGAAAAGTCTGCATCACTGTAGTAGAACATAGATCCCTGTTTCTTTTTTATGGTAGAAGAATTTTGCTCCTTTTCTTTGAGCTTTCTTCTGACAATTCACATGGGCTTGGGTCTACAAACTGATGTGAGAGTTTGTACATAAACACTTCAGTTGTTACTTCCAAAAGCTAGGGAAAGGTTAGAGATTGGCATGTACTGCATTACATGCTGTGTTCCCTAGTGAAAGATCCAGCAAGGCTAGCATTTGCAATTTACATTTTGAAATGAAAATGAACACAGTTTAGTTTTTATTTTTTTCAGATTTTAAAGTCGTTTATGAGATGTTATATAAACCATTTTAATAACACATAATTTAAAATGGTATGCAGATATTTTATATAGTATTTCAGCTAGCATCTTCAATATATGGCAATATTTGGCATGAATCTGCTTGTGTTAATGGTGTTAAACATACTGATATATGGTTCCAGCCTTGCTCACTGGGTGGGCTGCTCTGGTTTTCATATTTGATAGTGAAGGCCACAAGCTATTTCCCCTCCCAATGTGCAGCATGGTTCAGCTGAGCACATGGAGTAGGACTGACATTTTCCCAGCAGTGTCAGTCTGCTGACTTGGTCAGCTTTTTAGTCAGATGGACTACAGAAATAGTTTCCAATGGAGCAACCCATCTCAGGCTTACCAGGTACCCTGCATGCTTTTCCCTTTTAAGTGGCTGCACATGAAATCACCTCTTCACCCTCCCCTGGGAAAGGTGAGAGCAGAAGCAGGCTTCCAGTACCCAAACAATAAATCACAATTGATTGTCCTGTTGTCCAAACCATGTTAATTCCTGAGTTGATTCTAGTAAAATCAGTCCCAGCAAGTAGAGTGCAACTAGGCTGTTTCCAGAGTCTCAGTTACAGGTTTGACATCAGATTGTACATGAAAAGATACTGCTGGACCTTAAAGTTCCATAGACCTGTTCAATGTTTGCCCAGATCACAATTCATTTTATTTCCAGATGAGATGATTTTTTACAGTGCTAAAGCCAGTCTGAGTCATATTCTAATAGGCAAATGGCATTGTTTCTTTTAAATTGTATATTCACCTGAATAGCCAGACACAAAATGTATCTTCCAATATGCTTGTGTGGTGTATACATGTCATGTGTTTACCTGTCAAGACTCTCACAAACATAGCTGCCATTCATTGCATGATGATAAAATCTATGTCACTTCTCAAATAATATTTTTCTTCACCAAGAAAATTCTCTGCATCAGGAAGGTTAAAAGAATATAGTGTCTTGTATGGAAAGCTATGTGTTGGCACCTTTTTCCTGCAAAAATTACTGAAAAAATAAATTTGGATATAAAGAGGCATATGTTAAATGCATGCTTATTAAAACTTCCAAAACTGACAGTGGGCTTGTAATAGTTTTGTATCCTGATAATGTTATGGTAAGTCATATTATTACACCATTTTGGAAAATTTTAGAGAAAATAAATGTGCTCAGGAGTTTTGTCACGACTCCGATGAGAATAAATTAAGGCTGTTTACTAAGGAATCTTGGCTGCTGTTTGAAATTTTGATTAAATATATCATTGACCTGATCAGGGTTTAGTCTCATAGTTATTGAGTGATTTGAAAAAGCTTTCTAAGTAATGAAATAGGAAAACTGATGTACTGTTCTTTAAAAATACTTTAGGACATCTGTACAGTTGTATCACATTTTACTTTTCAAGTTTGCTTGACAGGGTCAGTGCCGCTTGCCCATTTAATAAAGCTGGACAGCATCCTAGCCAGCACCTGATCGGCCTGCGCAAAGCCGTGTACCGATCCGTCAGAGCCAACTTCCGAGCTGCAAGACTGGCCACGCTGTACATGCTGAAAAAATATCCTTCCTCTAAAAACCCACCACTGCAGGTAGTCCGTGCTGCCTACTGCCACTTGTACCAATGCTGAGGGTCAGGAGGTCTAGAACATACAGCATCTAATTATGTAAACAAGTGAAAGAAAAGGTAGCTTAGTAAATTGGGGCTTGTGTTTGATTTGGAACATGCTTTAAACTTGCCTTTTTGTGTACTGTGCAGTGTGATAAGATTCAGTGCACTGAAAACATTGTATCATTATTGACACCCATGCTTTGGTATAAGTGCTAGTGATGCATTTCAGAGCCCTTCAAGATTCTGTTTTATAATTCCTCTTAGCCCAAAATATCCCTTGCACCAACATATCCTCTTCTCTGAACAATATGGCCTTTCACTCGACATCCCTGTATTCAAAGGTAAGTTGGTTTTCTTCTACCAAATTATCTGCAGCAAATTAAGCTTTTATGTTAATGTATATCTCAAATATGTTGGAAGGAGATCAGTCTGAACTGTGACAGAGAATTAAAAATTTTAGGTCACAGCTTTATTCATGGTGGTACAAATTGCATAAACTTGATATGTTATCATTCTCACTTCTATTCAGTAGAAGTTCAGCAATATTTGCTTGTGGCTAGTGTACCCTCTTTTAGTTAGATAGCTGCCTTCAGTGAGTACAGTTAAATATCTTTTACCTAATTAAAATTTGTTCCCATGTAGAAGAGAAAATATGCAATCATATTTTAGCCTTATACCAGGCAGTTGTGTCAAACTTGGTAGACCAGTGATTTAATGAGAGGGAAAGTCATATTGCTTACATTTTGTGTGGAGAGACAGTTGGGTACTAGCAGAAACAACTCAGCATTTGCTCACACCATTCTTGATCTGATTTGTTCATGTCAGCAAGAGTGCATTGCTCAAAGTCACAGAACAAAATGCCATAGAAAAGAGTATTTCTCTTTTAAATCAGAATCTAAGGTTATAGCAGGATGCAATGGCTGAAAGCCTAAACTAGGAATTAGGCACCTTGGGTTAAGTATTTACAGGATGTCATGCAGACCAGTTCAAAAGCTCTCTGCACTGTCCTCCATTGAATTGTGTGGTAACTCAGGCAGTGCTTCCCTTGGCATGCTAGCTGCTGAACACTTTTATTCTTAAGAGCCTTGTGGGTTCTGCATCATGGGAATCTGGTGTAGCTGTATACAAGCTGGATGGAGGAAATCTTGTAGCTTATGTTACTGGCTGATGTTAATAATCTCATCCTCTGCTGTGCAGAATAGTCTGATTTGAGCTATTTTCATAGGTAGGACTTGGGCATTGGACCATGTAAACTTAAAAAGCTTGGATTTTGGTGTGAGGTGATGTTCTTTGCTGCCAAGGCATAAATAGTGTTATTTTTTTATTAGTGATAAAACCAGACATTGGATAGGAGTATTTTAAACTGAGTGATATCTAACCCTATTAGAATGGAATGCATATAAAATGCATTCTGTGCCTTTGAGATGCACCGGGCACAGGGACATTTGCAAATTTCCTGTAGTAAATCTAGTAAAAACTTGTTTCTGCTCTGTAAAGGTTTAGTTATTGCATCATGAACTGTTAGAAAAACCCATACCTTTAACTAGGGAGAGGGCAAGTTCATGCAAGAAAACAAGTACGCTAAACAAAAAGTAGTACGCTCTTGAGCTTATAAACACTTAAATTGCCACACTGAAATATCTGAGTAGGGACACTTGGGCATTTTTCAGTGCAATGTTTCTTCCTTGACCAGCCAGTTCATCACATGCTTAACTCACCCCTGGTTAGCAGGTGAGAATTTGTAGAAGAGCAGCTTGGATTTCCTAGGGATCCTGTGAGGCCCTCCTGTTAGGTCTTCAGATGGGAATGTGCTTTTGAAAACTGAAGTATGAATGTTAAATTGTTACATACAGGGATACATTAGCATTCTTGCTTTTCTATAGATAAATAAGAGTGTCTAACCTGATAAGAGGTTAGACATTCACTGTACAGGTATTTTATTCTGGATTTGACAGTTCATTGTTAAGTAGCATTGCCTTCTCCTCTTTCCAGCTAATAAAGCATGTAAGTTAAACAGATGAATGAAATATTTTCACAGAGACAAAGAAAAAATTAACTAAGATAGTTAGGCTTTAGTATTTTGGCTTTAACTACTGACTAGGAGTCAGTAGGGCTAAAAATACGACGAGATCAAAGTGCACAAAGGAAGTGTGTTCCTGTATATAATGGTGTGTATGTGTTTAAACTCTCCAAATGTTTGATCCTTAGGAAGTTAATGGGGGCATGGGATCAGTTCTCTGCTCTGAAATGGGAGTGGAAGGGCTGCAATAGAGGAGGGCAATGCAGGAGGTGCAGGAGGCCACTGGGAATCCCTGGCTGAGACACAGCATGGGTAAGTGGCTCCTTGGTCAAACCTCACATTTGAGATGTTGCCTGGAATTTATTTTTAGCATGACTTAGGAATCCATGTGTGTCCAAACTGCTTTTTGTGGTGTTCATACTGTTGGAAATGCCATGTTGCAGGAAAAGGCTAACCAGGAGTACAAGTCGTTTCTAAGATTAGTGGTCCTGAAGGGTTTTGACCTGACTTTTCAATTTCTGGTGGAGTTACCATCCTCATCCTATGTGCTCCCTCTGCTGGACGTGCTGTCAGGTTAATTCAGAGTAGACACCATTTATGTGAGGCAGCTGCTGGTGACAGCAGTAATGTTCTGATCCTAATTAATTGCAGGGTTTTGTTTGAACATTTAATAAGCTTCTTCCTTTCCAGACATTAGGAATAAAGGAGGGAGAAATGTCGTTTTTTTAGATCCTGGACACTTTGCTTTACTGTTTCCTGGGACACAGAATATTACTTTTTCCTGCAATGTTCTTCTGCTTAACTGGTAGAAGTCTCTTGAGGAAATCAGTTTTGCAAGTTCAATCCTATGAGAATTTAGCCCATGGAAAATTTGGGTGTGAAAGCAGATGGAACTCATAGCTTCCCCCTGAAAACACATGAGATGGACAAGAGACAAGTGCTTCTAATTGGCTTTATGTGCAAGAGATGAGAGCATTCAGTTTCTAGATCAAACTATAAATGAAAAACAAATATATTAAATTAAGACCATATTTTAATTAATGCTTTACAAATAGATATATATTTCTGTGGTACGGATGTGATTTTGTACTTATGGCATAAGTTTACATTTCTGTTTTAAAATGAATTTTACTATTTTGTGACTGGGTAACTATCAGAAGACATGCAAAAAATATTGAACTATTCCTCCCCAGCCTGAGGCCATCCTAAAATTAGTACTATTCTAATAATAACTTCTAAAAAATAATAAAAGCTGCCTAGTCTATGAATTATTTTTTCTGTTTTCTGGTATCAGTTATATTTGGCTTGCTTCCTACTTTTTAAGCATTTTTGAGGACAAGAAATGTACATTTTCCTACTGAGATTTTAAATGTGCTGAATGGTGTTGATAGATACCAGTTTGCCATTCATCCTGCCAAGATCATAATGTCTTTACAGTGATGTAATCAATAAAGTTAATGCTATGACACAGTCAGGGAGCTCCTGTTCTTCATAGAGCTCTCTGAAATGTCAAAGACCTTTTACTGTAAAGGCCTCTCTGAGCAGTCCATCCACACACAGACCTCTCAGCAAATTCACATCCTGAGTTTAGTCTGTAACACAGGCTACCTTTAAAACTTAAAATTGCACAATTGTTCTCTTTCCTCTGTTAATTTCTGCTCTAAGATTGACATGAACTATTTCTTGGAAACTCCATATTTAAAATTAAGCTGTTTCACTCATTTAAAAGGGATGCAGGGATTTTTTATTAATCTACTTTATTTCTTTTTATGTGTTTGTATTTTGACATAGGTGTTTTGTCAGTGTCTTATCTCTCATCCTTCTAAAAGCCTTTAAAAATTGTGCTTCAAATAAGGATTGCAGAACAGGGTTCGGGTAGATTCGGGATGAAAGTATGTGATTTCATAAAAATTGCCTGGAAGGAGAAACCTTATTAAGTATTTCTTTCCTTTTGTGTGTGTTTAATGCAAAAGTGGCTTTGTTTACCACCTTAACTCCAGCTAAACTTACCCTCTGAACTCGGAGAGTGACAACGTGACCAGCTACATCTGTGTGGTCCCCTTTAAGGAGCTGGGCCTGGGGCTGAGTGAAGAGCAGGTCTCTGAAGAGGAGGCACACAATCTGACTGATGGCTTCAGCTTGCCTGCACTCAAGGTAAGCTCTCCTAGGAGGGCTTCATGCATCCATGCAGCTCCTGGTGAACATCTTTCTGTTGTCATGAAGTCCTGTGGCTTGTACATCCTAGCCTGTAGCAACACTCTGAATTGAGGGTAAGGTGTAATCAGTCAGGCTCTTATCATGTGTTCTGCATTCATTTATATATGCATTTCTTTGTGCATGTAGAGAAAGAGAAGTTACTCAGTACAACATTAGGATATTTTTTCTGCAAATGATGGAAGTTTAAGTCAGTTGTTCTAGAATCAGCTTGATCAATCCCCTTAAACATGATTTTTTGCTCTCTGATTTAACCTGATCCCAGTTGAATAAAATAATTTCTGGATTTGTACTTAATTCTTTTTTTATCTAATCTCTTGAGGTGAATAAAAAGAGAGACATCAAAAATCACAAATTAGTTGTAAATGCCAAAGGGAGTAGCTGCATTTAGTCACACTGAGGAGCAGAAATCATAAGCTTGGACCCCTGCTGCCATGAGCCAGTGTGGTTCTTTGATCTTTGAAAAACTTTTAACTGAACAGAGTGACAACCATATAATGGCCTTTTTATCTATTTTGTTTTGAGATGTTAGGTTTTTTTATTTGCATGAATCAATTGGAAGGAAGATCTAATTTGAATGCAAGCCTTCTATACTCTAATGACCCTCTGCCAGGGCAGTTTCCCTTTAGCATTGTCTTTTTAATGGAAAATTCCATTATTATATGACTTCTGTGTTTCTCTGGGGTTGGCTTTTGTTACATTTTTTCCTCTTAATTTATAGACCTTGACTTCTTTTGTTCTGACAGTAAATGCTACCAGTAATAGTGATTACTAAGCTTTGAGGCTTTGTCTAATTAGCTTTAAGCTAAGAGCTACAATAAATAGCAGCTTTTGGGATTTTTTTTCTTGCACTTCATTAGCTGAAGTTCTAATTGCAACCATGTAAGCCTGCTAATTTACCCACTTCTTTTTAAGCACAAGAAGCCAGTAAGAGGTGCCCAAGCTTGTAAGCTAAGCCTTTGTTTACCTGCAACTTGCAGTAGTTTAACTGAACTCTGTTTTAGTTAAACTGGTTAGGATGCTTTCTGGATACAGTTAAGATCACAACAACTAGAAAATCTCAATTTATGGTAACTCATAAAAGTCAGCAATGTAGGCTGGGTGTGGTATAGCTGAACCAAACTAAATTAACAAAAATCAGTCCTAAGCAGATTCCTGTGGAGGTATAACATACTTTGATAACCTTGGGACATATTTGTGTGGTGAGCCTTGGATGTATGTGCAGCCCTTTTTGAGTTTGTTTTTTCACTTTGAGAGAATTTGCCTCTATAATAAAGTGCAGGTCATGCTAAGCCATATGACAAATGTAGCATGTGTCTTTTGGCTACCTTGTCCTTGAAGTAAAGCAATTTAAAGAGTGAAAATTTTTCATTTAAGAAAAACATCCCAGTTTAAGCTGAGGAGAGCCAGGTGGATATTTTGTGTCAGCAAAGATCATCAGTAGTTACTAACAGAGCAAGCTGCTTGCAACCATAAATACATCTGGAATTTCCCTTTTCTCTTGTCGTTGTGCCTTTTTTCAGGTAGGTTTTTGATTATTATCATCAGTTCCTGAAGTCCACTATTTGTGTATGCTATTTTTTTACTGCCTGTGATTTATGTCTGGTGGAAGGGATTTGTCTTCTTTTGTGCTTATTACAGCATGAGCTTTTGATTTTTTATCCAGGGCACTACACGTTCAGGGACGCTTGAGTGATTGCTGCCCATTTGTTTGCTTTGTATTTTTGCATCCAGCCAAATCAGTCTTGCATGTATACCTCAAATTAATTTCATGTCATTCATGTATTCTTTTTTCTCATGAGCATCTTTTGTAAATTGAGGTTCTTTTTTCTTTTGGAATACTTTCTCAGTTTGCATCCAAGTATTTTTGCTGTGATGAGTAAATGTTTTGCCTTCCTTGGTCTAGAATGCTTGCGAACAAGTTTCTGTCTCCATCTCATAATCACCTATAGCTGATCCCTTTTAATAAGGGCCATTATTGCAGAGAAAAGTATCATAACCTTTCCTTTTCATTTTAGACATAAAAGGTGCTGCTGTACTGTCATGGTCTACTGAGCAAACTTCTCTAAACTAAGAAAACAGTTCTTTTCTTTTCAATGGAAGTTCTCAAGAAATTGAAATTTTGGACTGCCTTGCTCCTAGATGGACTGTCCTCTTTAGTATAATATATAACATTGTGAATCAATCCATTTCTTAAAAGAATTTTCTTCCTTAGTAGTATTGGTGGAATTTCTTACTTTGGCTGAAAAAAGAAATAAGTTAGCAGTTCAACTTTGTTCAGATGCAGAATATTTTTTTGTTGAAGTACAGAGCAATTAGGCTCATGTTTCAAGATTGGGTGTGGGGCAATGCAGTAGTTATTAGATTGCAGAAATGACAGCTTGGCCTTATAAAAGGAAAAATGTCTTTGCTGCCACTGGAATTTTGGCAGCCCTTTGCGAGCCGTAGGGTATGTGGAGATTATAGCAAATAATGAAACTGGCCGACGGGAATATGAGGTTTTGGACTCTGACAACTTTATGAGCATAATTGCATTTAATATCCTTCATCAAGGAATTAGCAGTCACCTAAGGTTCACAAGATCTGAACCTCACACGCTCTGGAATACCCTTCAAAAACAGTCAGCGGATTTTTGCAGTTTTTCAAAGTTCCCGTTGCCGCCAAGGAATGTTTTCCCGTGGTGTATCCGTACATTTACTTTGGAAGTAAATGCCCACAGGTGCGCGGAGCTAACCCTCCCCTGTTTTGCAGGTCCTCTTTCAGCTCTGGGTAGGGCAGAGTTCAGAGTTTTTCAGGAGGCTGGCGCTGCTGCTGTCCCCGGCCAACGCGTGCCCCGCGCCGTCGGCGTGCCCGGAGCGGCTGCCTCACCGCATCCTGCGCGACGTGGCCCAGGGCCTCCCCGGCACGCACGCCGCCTGCCTGGCCGAGCTGCGCAGGAGCTACGAGTTCTACCGCTACTTCGAAACGCAGCACCAGGCGGGCCTGCAGTGGGCAGCCAGGGGCAAGCAGCAGTGCAGGGAGCTCAACAGCCTGCAGACAGCCGTGCGCAGCCTGCAGCTGCACCTCAAGGCCCTGCTCAATGAGTGAGTTTACACCTGCATTAACAGAAGGATTTGGACTTGAAGTTCTTTGGGTTGTCAGCTTGTGTCTCCAATTAAAAGTAAAAAAAGTCTTTGTGGTCGTAGCCATATCTTCACACAGATGGCTCAAAGGTTTACTATGGAATCTGATATTTTTCCTGGGTATTCTTTGAGTATCTGAAAACTTGAAGATAAGCAGTGCACTGAGATTTTGCCTTGCTTTGTGACTCCCTTAAAAACCATAACAATCTTCCATTGATTTTTCCACATATCAAATGCTTTATAAGAACATTCAGCTCATAGTACCTAACTAGTCAATATCCTTAAAGATTTGTCACTGCCTTGGTGAAACAGTTGAGACTGTCCTACTCCTTTAACCTTACATGTAAGAATTACTATAACAATTGCAGGTATTGCATTGTTAATCTTATACATAAGCAAGGTATCTTGATGTAGAAAAAAATATTTTAATTTTAAAATTTTGGGACATCTTTGAGTAATTGACTGAGTTGGGTTCTTAAAACTTAAAGGAAATAACAGTATATTACATTAAATAATGGAAAGAATGGTGGAGTCAAATATTTATTATTACTTACTGCTGTTTGTCTCCTCATTACTTAGGGTAATAATTCTTGAGGATGAGCTTGAAAAGCTTGTTAGCACTAAGGAGACATCTGAGTTGACAACAGAAGCCCGTCAGGTTCTGGAACAAAAACTAAAGTTTCTGCAGCCTCATATCCAGGCAAGCAACAGCTGCTGGGAAGAAGCCATTTCTCAGGTAGAAAAAATGAGTGGAAGAAACCCAAACAAAAAAGGTAAATGTGAGAGATTAATTTAGCAGCTAATGGGATACACTTCAGAGATGAAATGGTCAGATGAATCAGTGACAATGTTCAGCCTGTGTATCAGAATTTTAGCTGAAGAAGGTCTTAAAACCATACACTTGGTAAAACTGTGTCCTTATATCAGACTTTTTCATTGTGATGGCCTTGAAGCTTTTGTTTCAGCAAAAAATGCAACCATGCTAACTCAGTCTGTTACACCTCTGGGTTCAGATGGTTACATTTTCAGGTGTAGACTGATAATTGCTTTTTGTCTTTGATGCGTGAAATCACCTATGAAGGGGTAGGATTTTAATGAATTGCCCTCAAGATCTTCATTTATTTACTGCATTAAAATGATGCCATTAATTGAAATGATAATGACATTGTCATGAAACTTTTTTGACAATCGCATTTCCTGGAACATTTCAAATCATAGAGGACATGTTGAGCATATAAAACCCATTTACTTCCTCTCAAAGAGAGTGAGCTAACCTTTGGTGTTCTTAAAAGTCTTAGTGAGCAGCATATCCCAGTGTTTTGTTTCTTGTCCCTCTCCTTAAGGATCTGTACTGCCCATGCTGTTCTTGTGAAGCATAACCAGCTTAAATAACTGAAGTGAATTTAGGCTCTCCTGACATGGAATTGAACCTGTAATTTCTAATCTTTCTTTTTTCCAGGAGCATTTTTACTGTGCTAGGAAGGCACAGCCCAGCATCTGAAAAATGCTGGTAATGGAGACTGCAGTAGGAAAATTGGAGGGGGGAACTTGGGGTATCAGCAAGTTACCTGCAGAAATCCAAATCTGAAGTGCACTATGCACTTAATGATGCATGGATGGAATATCCAGTAGATGGATAAATATTGCTGTGGGCCTAGAAGCAGGCAGGCCAAGCTTGTTCATGCTTACATCAGAACTTGGAGCACTGAGAGGCTTCTTGCAGGCTCTGTGCAGGTCCAGACATGGTATAAGCAAACTCCTTCACTTTGCCTGATAGTGCAGTCTTACAGCTTCCCCCTCAGTGCTGTGTAAAACAGCCTGTGAGGATGTTAGATGTAGCCTGATATATTTGCATGTGCTGACCTATTGTGTTTTGTTGACACCTCTACAACCTGCAGTTCTACTGATCTTTTTTCCCCTTTGCTTAAAAGCACTTTCTAGACTACACACAATAGTATTTTTAGTTACTTTAGTTTTATTTTTACTTTGTGTATAAATTTCTCAGCAGGCCTTTTTATTATAACTTGCTTCTTTTAAAGTTCAGTACAAAAATAACCTCGTGTGTGATCTAGAAGGGATTGCATGGGAAATAAAAAATAAAATAATCCTTCACTTTTGCCCACTGCTTTCCTGGAAACGTGCTGGGATTGAACTTCTATTTTGCAACAAGTTTACTGAACTAATTCACAGGAGCTACTTTAATTTATTTTGGTCATTGAAAACTATTTTTATCTGACAACATTTGACTTTCCTGATATATTTCTAAGCCATCCAGTTTCTGTGATTGACCTTGTCAAGCTGTACATGAAATCAAGTTCAATTCTTTTGCTGTCTTCCTACAAATTTTAACAGCTGGTCTGTCAGTCATGTTATGTAAATTACTTCTTATTTTTTTCCCAATACTTTCTGAAAACTCTTTGGGAGAAGATACTTTCCTGTTGAATAAATATAACAGCTCAGCACAGCTTTTACACTTATGCATTACTATCCAAAACTAAATCAATCTTCTGACAAGAGCTGTTTCAAGAACCCCATGGGCTTAGAGCCTTTTGTCTAAGTGGATGCTGAGCACTTCTGCTGCCATAGATAGATGTTTAGTCCAACTAACTAGTTCAGCCACTAGAGCATCTGTATAAAGAGATGAGTCCCCTTGAACAAGCAGTACATGCTTCTTGCCCTGAATCATTATATATCAGAGCTGTTTTCTTACAGGTACATTCAAGAGCCAAAGCAAAGCCTTGCAGAGTAATAGCTTGGACACCACACCCTCCTGTCAACCTGTCATTGGTGCTGACACCAGCATGTATCTTGTATTGTAGCATATAGTTCCTTCAGGGAATGCAGTTTGGCTTCCTCCTTTACATGATTTGGTGTATTTCTAGAATCAGTGCCTTTACTTATTCACTGATCCTGTCAGGTACAGAGCAGAACCTCAGAACAAGTGGGGCTTTAGCACATTTAAGGGCGATCACCTCTATTTAAATTCTTTGGGCAACAATGGACCTATTTATCATTCATCTACAAATACATCTTTGCTCATTTCCTAGAACTTTCAGCTTCTTTTCTTTATTCTTTCGCATTTTTTCATCGCTGATAAAATGTATCACTTAAAGCTTCAACAATGTAAGCGTGTAGTAATCTACTGCTACTATTATAGAATGGAGTACTCTTTATAGCTAGTTACAGCATTGTATTACTGATCTTTGAAACACTGGCCCTCAAACTGTTTCAATTCCATCCTTTTTCTTTTTAAACTAACTTTGCAAATGGACACAACTTTTTTAGATATTTTTAAGACCAAGGCTGTGGTACTCTGCTGCTATCTCACCATCCCTAAGTGTTTAGTGTATAGATTAGAAATGGAAAATAGGGTTAGGTGGGGCTTGGCAAGGTCATTTAACCCATTTCCCTTCTCAAGGGTAAATTAGTATTTGTGAGTAAATGTTGTTTACCTCTTCCTAAAAAACTATCTTTAGAGACATTTTACAGTATTTCCAGGCATCTATTCCAGCACTTAATTCCATTACCAGTAGAATGTTATTACTGAATAGAAGTACCTCTTGCTGCAATTTAAAAGCAGTACTTCTGATCCACCCACAATGGAAATCCATTTCCTCTTGATGGCTCTTACATTCTCAAAGATGATTATTATGCTTCTTTCTGTCTTCTCTACATGACTCCCTATGCTTCAGCTCTTCCCTGGTGACTATACTTTATTTAGTCCTCTTTATAATATCCAGTGTTTTCCTCTATATTCCCTCTGGTTGCCCCACTGTGTTACTGAATGAAGGGGCCCCAGACTGGGCAGTATGTTCCATCCGCAGCCTGATCAGTGCCAGAGTAGAAATGTTATTTCATGTGTCTTAGCAGTCAGTGCTGTTGCTTTGTATGTACTGGTTTGTAGTTTGGCTTTTTGCTTGCAGTGGGGTAGAGTTGATGGTGAGGCTCCTCACCTCTTTCTCAGTGATTCTCCCCAGTCAGTTGTGATACATTTATGCACTTGGCTATTCCAAAGCACAAAAATCTGCAGCCATTGTCACCAAACTTCTGGGTCTGAAGTCTATTTCTACCTGGGTTGTATCAGTGATTTTCCAATATTATTTTTTATTCTAGTGGTGCCCTTCAGTGTTCTTGCAGATTATCCCCAAGTCAGCAGATTTAATGAGATGCAACACCTCTCTTTCACCCATTGGCAATATTGGAGAGTATTGGACTTGAGACAAATCCTCACTCAATGTATTCCAGTCTGAAAATGGTAATCATGCTGTGATGATCCAAGAGGCTGTTCTGTGCACCTAATAGCAACTTTTCCTGGCCTTTGCATTTTCCTTATAAAGGTGTCATGACACCATGTCAAAAATCTTACTGAAAACAAAATGCAGGATGTCTTCGGTTCTTTCTATATGCAAGACCTTTTTACTGCATTGCAAAATTAACATCTTCTGTTTTCAACAAATTCACACTGGCTGTTATTTGTCTTCTTGCTACCTCGCAAATACCTTCCTGTAAACTTTCTTTAATTATTTCTTCCAACATTTTCCAGTCATTTGAAGCTGTTTTATCTATAATTTTTTTAAAACTTCCAAACAAAGTCTCTTCTCTGGTTTTACTGATTTTGCTTGCCATCTGCAGGTTTTCAAAGTCTATAAAATTTCTGAGATTTGTTAGTTGAAGTGTTTCAGCACAAGTTCCATTGGACCCAGCTTCTATAAAAATACTTAAGTGCTGTATAACAGTTTCAGTGTAACCTAACCAACTTTCTCACCATTTTTTTCATGTATGCAAATCCTGCTTATGAAAATACTTGGACCCTGCCTGAGTGAGTCAGAAACATCATTCAATACTCAATTTTATTTCTTTTAAATCCCTTTTCTTTTTTCCTCTAAAGGCAAAATTGAAGTTTCCTGTGACAACCTACAACATACTACAGTACCTTTAACACAGCCTGCCATATACATAGAAAACAAAGATCCAATCCCTGAAGAGCAGGTAAAAAAAAAAAGGATCATTTAAAATAATAATTGGGGATTATTTGCTGTATCCATTCTTTTTTTCAGTTGCTTGTGCAGTGACCTTGTTGTCTTGCTGAGACAGACAAGTGGCCAGTACCACTTCAAAATTGGACATGTCAAAAAAATGTGTACATTCCTTTTGCTGTTCCATGGGGAAGTATTCCCCATCCTGGAAAAAAGAGCACTAGTATTCATTTCTCATATATATCATTAGAAATGAGGGACCAAAGGAGAGCAGCAACACAAGTCAAAGTAATAAAAAGTGAGAATTGCTAAAAGGCAGTATATGAAATAGTCCTACTTTTGCTGGATAAACAGATGTAGCTGAAAAAGTGACAACTCAAGCACAAATCATCCTGCCTTCAGTTTCCTTAGTCTCTGCATTTTTGGATATCTTTTTACTGTAACACTGAACAATTTTGTGTTGTTAGAGGACCTCCTGGGTGATGGTTGGGCTGTCTTAAAGAGAGGTGGGCCTCCTCCATCCCAGAACTGAGTGGCAGATCCATTCTGAAAGCACAGTGAACACCCATGTTCTGCTCTGTCCCTCCCTTGCTTCTCCCCCACATGTATTCTCTCCAGCTGTTTTTCCATATCAAAAACTGGGACTAATTACTTTACTGAAAGTTTGTTATAATATAAATGTTGCTCTGTTTTTTTATGCTCGTAATCCAGTATATTTAAAATTGGAAGAGAAGTTTGCTATTCTCTATATCCTCTTAATAAGGATTTATGTAAGTTAAATTAGCAAGATGCATGACTACCAAGAACTGGTTACAGTGTAAATTAAAAAAAAAAAATAAACCCACATCAGCATTGCTTATTTCCACCTGTAATTACAGAGAAATGGTCTCGCATTTTCAAGGTATATCACTTGTTCCTATTTGTGTATGAAGGTAAATCTTGTTAATGAGTGGACTTGCTCCAAAATCATACAGATACCACCACGAGCAGTGTCAGGTCCACTGGCTCTGCTCAAACAGGGCTCCATCCTGTTACTGTGGTTGGTTTGTGTTGACATCACTTGATCATGAATCAGATCATAGGATTGAGTGCACCTGACAGTGAAGATCAAGAGTTTCTTCCTTTCTTTCTTTAGGAACTGGAAGCATATGTTGATTATTCAGACACAGATAATGAATACAAAAGGGAAGACTTTTACTGCTTTTCCCAAGAAGAAAGAGAGAGGCAAGAGCGAGAGAGACAGGAATCTAAGAGGGTGTTACAAGAATTGAAATCTGTACTGGGATTCAAGGCTTCAGAAATTGAAAGACAGAAGTGGAAACAGCTACTATTCAGTGAACATGGTAAGCATTTCTTTTGAAAATTAATTCCTTCCTTAAAAAACATGGGTGTCTGCCATGGATTTCTGACTATGCTGGAATTCAGACTGTGCTTAGCTGTAGTAGTGTCTTTGACAGAGCTGTGTGGTCTTATTTGCCATTCCATCTTTTTATATTTTAGCAGTCATTTTACTACATATTGAAATGAAGTCATAGAAGTGAGAATTTGGCTTTAAACAAAACACTGAGCTAAAATATTAAGCACACAAAAATGTTAAGACATAATGAAAGCTGTCAGGATATAAACCATGCAGATTGAACTGACTTTCTTTCATGGCTTTCCAGTAAATACGAATTTTTATCAGGGTGCATAAATAAATTGCTTTTCAGAATTTAAAGAAACTAGCAGAAAAATTATCCCGGACGTACAAAAGTATATAGGGTAAACTGAAGAGCTGGACTTTGAAATATTAGAGAAATAAAATAATAAAACTGCCTTTTGTTTCCATGAGAGAGTGAATACCGAACATGTTCACAAAAAAACCCCCAAACAAACAAAAAACAACAACAAAAAATAAACAAAAACAAACAAACAAACAAAACAACAAAACCACCTAAGAAGAAGAGTTCTTTCAAATTAGCCCTTCTTAATTCTGAGGACTGCTGGGTGTCTCCATTCACTTGCAATTGAAAGCAGGATATGAAAATTTCTCTTGCCTCAACAAGACAGCTTGTCTGTAAAAACTTGATTCCTCTCACTGCTTGAGCTATTTGATTTACTCTCTTTAAAATTGGCAGGAGTTTGTCTTTTCCTTCCTCTTATTTTCATTTCTTCCTCTTAAAGACAGGTTAGGAAAAGCTTTCTAAAAAGTGCCATGTTCTATGTTATGCAAAACAGCCCTCAAGTCTGGCACCATATCCAAGGATTCTGCCTCTGACAGTGTCTACCAGAAAAATGAGCAAGGATTGCAAATTTCCAGTAATTTACTAGAAACACAAAGTAACAGACCATATCTATTTATGACATAGACATTATCTATGTCTCTTTTGACATCAAACCATCAAAAATATCTGTTCTTAGCAATTTTCTTCTTTACATCCATTAAGCTACAACTGTGGTAAAAGAGGTTACTTGACTGTTGGTACTGATTTCTCTTCCAGTTGCGGTAAAAACCCGAGAGATCAAATTGCAGCAGTTTGCTCAGGAATAGGATTTCTGTATTTCTGTTGCATAAGACAGCACACAACTCTTCACATAAATTTCTTCAAGTCTTCCTTTCCTGTTGGAGGACGAAGTGATCCTACCTCCAGTTTAAGTCTTCACAGACCTAGTGAAACTCTTGCAGAAATAGTTTTTGTCAGGAGAACTTGCCTAGGAACATTTCCTTACCTGAGCAGGTAATACTTGTCCTGAGCAGGTAATACCTATGGGCATATCCTCAGGCCATCTGTGGCCATAGCTGGAAAGAGTCAACTCACTCCTGTAGTTTGCACTAACTGTTCACCAGAAAGCCTTTGTGGCTCATGTTGGTTCCTTTTCCTTTCCTATTTCATTGGTTTAGGATTAGAGATAAAAGGGTGAGGAGGGAAGAAAGTATGATTTTCTCCAGCTGCATAGGACTAATCATTGATTATCTCCATCCTGTACAAACATGGAAAACATGAGGGCAGTTCAAGAAAATAATTAATATTGTCTTCTGTTGGCTCAGATTGTGTGTGTCTAATCTGACAGACTGATATGTACACCTGCTATAACATTACTGATTTTTAGGGAAATCCTTCAATATTTCTTCAAAAGAAAGACAAGTCAGTAAATATGGTATCATGGACCCTGGCATGTTATGGTTTAATTTATCCATACACAAGTCAGTCCTTAAAAAGACATTTATGTGATCTGCACTTTCCACATTTCTGACTTGGCTTATCTTGAAGATTGAAACCCAGAAAGGTTCATATTCTTGTCTCCATTGGCCCAAGCCAATGGATGGCCATGATACCACTTTTCCATAGTCCTCTTGAATCTTGCTTTTACAGGACAATCAAATTCCAGAAATCCTGTGTTTTCCTAACTTGTGATTATTGTGGAAAAAGATCCTGAAATATCCAAAGACTTTAATCTGTTAGTGAAGGCACCCAGCTAGCCATTCTGACTTATCCTAACAAGGACATGAGGGTTTTGGGTTCATTTAAGGAGGGGCTGGTGAAGGTTTCCACATAAGAGGTCAGCTCCAAACAAGCTGATATGTCTTCAGAGCACAACATGAAGTCAGTTGGAGATGATAGGTTGGATTCCAGAAGAAAAAATATCATCTTAGCAGAGCACTAGACTGAAGCAAGTTTTCCAAGGCCCACTACCATGGTAATACTTCTTACAGTCTGGGTAATAGGTAGTTTATGGGAGTGTAGGTAAGCTTATGTTTCTGATCCTTTGGCCTCATGTGGAGCCACTACATGAAAGTGCTTTTGAAAAGGTCTGCTAAGTTTTTAGTAGCTTCATTTCCATTTGTCAAACACTGTCAAACAACTTTCTTCTGCTGCAAAATCACTTCTAGCCTTTCCCTAACCTATCCCCTGCAAAAAAGTTCATTCTGTGGGTGGTTGTGTTGTAGCCAGCTTTTTCCCCTTCTCCCACCTTGTCCATACAACAGTTGTTATATAGCTATTTATCGGATTTGGAAAGCCATGCTCTCAAAACAGATGAATTTCACCCTGCTTATTAATTTGTCAACTCCACAAATTGGCCAGCTACCAATCTCAAGTAGCTCTTTTTTTTGTGAGAAATTTTGCCTTTCAAAGTATTCTTTGGAGGAAATAGGCAAGAAGTTTCCTCTCAAATGATAAGATTACTGTGCATATTCCTGTCTCTCCAAGCAAATGGGCAGAAATAAGTAGCAACATATTTTTTTACAAGACAGGGAAAGAACTACTCCGTAAACAACTGAGATGAGTCTGGTGCAATGCTCCTTTGGTATATCAAGTTCTAAAGCAAATGGTGCAATACACATTCAATGCCACAGTCTCTTAGTGTGCTAATGACAATACTTATCAATGTGACAACCATAATGATGTGCCTGCCTTCAGCTAGCTAAAGTAATATTACTGAAATAGGATGCGGTTGAAAAATCCTAATAGCATAAATTTTGCTTCCCGTAAAAAGTTTGTGTATTTCCCAGAGTTATTTTCATCTCTGCTTGCAGGGGTGAAGTCAGAATGGAATTAGAAAGGGAAATGCAACTTGGGAATCTGCTGCTGCCGCTCTCATTTATGCTCGTGCTGCTACTATAATGGAGCTGCTGCAGTTTAGGGAATCTGGTACTTGGAAATGGACATTATATCGTTTTGTTAACATGAAAGCCGCCCGTTCTTCAAGGAGCGATTGTACCGAGTTACACTAACCCTTAACTCTGGGAGGAGAGACTTCCTGGCAAGCATCCCGTTGCTGGCAATGGGACTCACTGCTGCTACTAACTGCAAGAGAGGCTAAATTAATGCACACTTTATTTGTGAGGACATGTACCTGACTCTGTGGTTATGTGTTGTATTTGTATGTTGTGTTGTATGAGATCAGATACTGCCTATAAGGACTTTTTCATGTGCCAGCTGTCTTTAGTGGATTAGGTAAACTGTTGTTCACAAGAAGACAGTTAAATCTGTATGCACTACAGTAGTTTTACTTGGGTTTTGCTTTAACACTGAATACATCCTCTGTGTTTGATGCTGGCTTTAAACACCATCAATTTTGTGCTGTCTCTTCACATCACAGATTTTAAGGAATAGTTACAAGTAGCCGTCACATTTCACTTCAGCTCTGTGATTAGAAAACACTTAAGTTTTGGTGTGGGTTGTATTTCTGTTGTTTTGGGATTTTTTAAAGTAATTTAAACCTTATAATCTTGCATCTTTTCAGGCAAATAAATTATTTATGTATAGCAGCTCAATTTTAGTTATCATTTAATTTTTCCCCCTTTTTAAGCTGCAGTGAAACCCTTGTCTCCTGTAGAACCATTGAAGCTACTAAATAATGTGGAATCACATATGAATTCAGATACAGAAAAGCAGGACTGCAGCCAAAGTTGTGATAAATCTGAAGAAAAAGACTCTAATCCAGAAGTGAATGCTGCTGATAAAAGCAGGACAGAATATTTGTATGAAGATCCTGAGATGGAGAAAAACAAAGACAGTATTACAGATAAAGATGTTTCTACAGAGGCTGGAGGAAGAATGTATTATCAGTGTGAAGGGGATGCTGAAGAGCTCAAGCCAAGCAGTGTGGATGGAGTAGAGGCTTCACAGCCTCCCTCTATGGATGCATTACATTCAAAAATCAAGGAGAGGCTGGCCCAGCTCCACATATCAACAGATTTTAACTTCACATCTGGTCTGGCTGCACAAGTTGCTGCCAGGTCTTTCACTTTTACTACAATGCAGGAAGAGACTTTTGGAGATGATGGGGAGGAGGAGGAAGAAGAAAAGACACAGGAGAATGAAGACCTTGTGGACAACTGTGAAAATGAAGAGAGAGGCTCTGAAAGTGAAGGAAAAGTATAAGTCTGAGCTGAACTTTATTAAACTAACAGCAGGCAGTTTGATGGAAAAAAACTGAGGTGGGGGGTTGAAGCTGAAAATACTGGATGGAAAAAAAAGGAGACCTACATATAATACATCGTGTTCCCTTAAGACTGATACACTAAATAGGACTTCTAAGTATATTGAAAATTTGCAGGTAAGAGAAGTTTGGGATGCATCCAAGAAATAGATGGCTGTCACTTTGCAAGATCCTAGTGATGGGGGTTGGAATCTACCTTTGTGTTTTCTGTTTTATTTATTTATCGAATGACATATTGCAGTTTTTCATTTCTAAATAGAAGGAAAAACAATGTTTTGATTTACAACAGACTCCATTTTTTTCCTTTCTGATTCTTTTGTCGTGGTATCAATGTTTGTTCCAACAAAAACAGCCAGGACATTTCTTTTGGAAGAACCTGAAATGTTCTCTGTGATTGTCCCCCACCACTTTTGTTTCACTGCTTGTGTCTGCAGTGTGTTGGCTAAGCCATGATAGGCATTTGTGATTCTTCAACTAGTGATATGGCACCCAGCTAAAATGTAGAATTTTAAATAAAAACTTGAAAGAGCTAGTATTTCATGTGTCCTGGGGTATGGGGCTGAAATAGTATAAAGTTAGTCATGCTTCATATTAAGGTTTATTTAGAATTTTATGAAGGGTTAATAAATGATGTCTATAAGTTGTAATTCATGTTAGAGAAATGTGTTGTAAGCAAATTTTAGGGAAGATTATAAGCACACCAGTAGAAGATACTACAGATAGCTAGAAGCTATCTATTGGATTGAGAGATGAGAAGTAAACACCTATTTATTAAGCCAGCTATTAATTGTTTGTTAACCTTTTGTAAACTGAACCTTAATGTAATTGTTTGATTTGATATAATGATCGATTGTACATTTTTGCTTATGTCCTGAAGTAATTTTCTTAAAGGAAATTATCTGTGAGCTTTGCAGTGTTTTGTTTGAACACCATACTTGCTTTTCACTAATGTTCTTTCACTTTTCCTTAGATCACAGCTTTAATCTGTGGGATTAAGAATCCATGAGAGAACTACAGCTATGTATTTTGTTTCTTGTAACTTAGTTAACTGATGATGAAGTCTGGATGTTTGGTATGAGGTTATGCAGGTTGCTTTTTTCTCTGTGGTGGTGTTACAAGGAGCAGGAAACTGATGCTAACCTCACAGAGGAGCTGGTTAATGGTTTCATTGTCCTCTCTTCCTTTTGCTGTCTGACACATAACAAAGTAAAGCTCCCGTGTCTCTAATGGTGAGAGCACCACTTCTTTGTGTGGAATACTCTACTTGGACACCAGCTACACTTCCAGGACAAAACACTGCATCAGTTACTTAGAGTATTTATTGCGTTTTGCAGATTCTGTAGAGTAAAGGGCTTTTTAGATGCTGGTGGTGCAGAACAATATCTTTCTAGGATGGTGTCATGGAAAGCAGGGAAGGTAACACTGGTCAGCAGGTTAGGGTGGAACTCTTGATGTCAGAAAATGAGTGTTTTCTTTCAACTCCCTGGCCTCTATTAGTGATTTTGCATGAACACTGTGAAATATGTGGACTTTTTCACAGATGGTAAAGAGGGAAATACCAATTCATAGAGAAGGGAGTATGACTTACAGTGTTCTTTCACTGTATAGTGCCTGTCTTCTCCCTCACACACAGGTTCTGGGAAGAGAACGTGTTGCCGTTTTTCATTGACCAGTAACACTGTGTTCTGTGTCCTTTATTTTGTGTAAGTGATTGGAAGCTGAGTGGTTGATGTCTTAAGGAGGTTCTAGGGAAAAAAAAAATCAGATGCTTTTCATAGTGTATTCAGAAGATAAGCCTCCTCTTAGTGGTAGAGTATATTCTTCTATAACTAAAGATTAGGCTAAGATGATGAAACACTTTTATTTTCTCTGTGGTAAGCAATTTTTTTTTTGACAAGTCTAGAACAGCTGCTTTGGATAGATTGTGTTTGAAGCATTGTCCATGCTTCTGAAGAAGTCTTCCTCATTCTTAACTTGAGATCCTCACAAAGTGCCCAGATATTTTTTTGTTCCTAGCTAATTGTTGTGACAGCCTAAATGTATCTTCCATCAATATTTTTCCATCAACTCATCCACCATCATCTCATGATCTGATGTTGTGTATCCCAGAAAGGGTACTCCTGACCTTTTTCTATGGGATCCAAATCATACTTTACAGTGTGTAAGACTATGATACCAACCTGGAAATGTAATCAGATTTAGGATATTAATTATCACTGTGTTCACAGTTTCAGGTGAAGTCAGAAGTAGCCTGAGTTGCATTGGTACTGGAATTGGTGACCAGTCTCACATTTATAAAAGCTGCTATCTCTTTATTCCTTTGCTGCAGTCCTTAGTAAAAATTCTGGAGAATCTACTTTGGTGGCTCACTTGGGGCCCAGTTTTATTATATGCTGGTCTTGGTAATGAAACTGGCCTAAAAAGCCCTGTCCATCATGAGTTGTTCATTTTTCTCCAGCAGATGTGTCAACATGGGGTTTTGTGGCCATGTTATAAACCAGTTCACGAGTCTAGCAGGTGAAAAATTCACCCCTTTTAGGCTTTTTTGCTTGTCACCATTCTCATTGCAGCAATGCAGTAACAGCAGTTACCTCAAAACAGCTGTGTCAGCATGTACTGTGTTGCTGGCCTGAGGCTCAGGAGAGCCCACATTTACATTATTGGCAAAGATGGTGTAGTGTGAAATTACAGCCTTGACATTAGACACAGCTGTGATCAAACAATGACCTTTTTGGAGGAAGTCCTGATCCTACTTTGAACAAATAGATTTTCTACAAGCAATTTAACTGATTTCCATGGTCTTACTTAATGCAGTCTTAGAAGATGCCCATATGAACACCTGGACTCACTTGTTTTCTCTGCCTCTCATCACCTCTGTATAAAACAGCCATCAGGTCATTTATTTTGATCTATTTAATATTCTCCTTGAAGAAAAATATTGCTAACAGTGTACAGCACACAAAGCCTGACTTCTCTCGAGTTGATAACCAGGTTCCATCTATGTATGTCATACACTCTGTTATGATCCAGATTTCCTCATAATTATGTCATTTGAAATGACTGTATATACATGCTGTAGGTTCCTTCATGAACCTGAAAGATTTCTTGGCATAATTTATTGCTGCCTTTAAAATAATGTTTGTGAACACACTGAAGTGTGCATTAGCTGTAATGAGTTGTCTTAATATATTGAGCATGTCAAGGTCTGAGTGCAGTTCTGTGTTCTTTGGCTCCTTACCCAAGATAGGGATTTTTGTGAAAACAGAACATTTGCTTCTTAGAGCTTTGCAACTTTTTGAAACATTTAGCAGGAAGTCCACAATAAATTATGGGTTATGACAAAGAATATCAGCAGCCAAAATCCTTTCTGAAGAGCAGAGCTAACAATAAATGCATTTTCCCTATCCCATTTCTAATTAGTAGTCCTGTGAAGTAAAGAAACAAGTTATATAGGGTTACATAATTTCTTCTCCTTCTACCTGGAAAGCACTCTAAAGACAATATTTGCTTCTTGGAGTGGATTACAATTTAACACTACATCTTTTTATATCACTTCACTTTACAGCTAAAGATCTAGGTAAAGGCTTAAATCTAGGCAAAGATCTGTGATAAGAAAGTAACTTGTCCCTTTTCTTAAGTGTATGTCATTAAAATTAAATTGTTGTGTCATGGAAGCAAATGTAGAGAGTTACAGATCGTCTTTCAAATGCAATTAAATGTACCTCTGTCAACTACAGGCAAGATTTGCAAATGTGAAAGCTTCTGCCATCAGTCATAGAAATGAGACAGTTTTACTTCCAGCAGAGGATTGCTGGACATCACTGAATCATGTACTTAGATTTCTAAATGCAAGATGGTATCTGATGGAGTAGCCAGTTTTACTGAGATAACAGACTTTGTCCCAAGCACACCTGTCTCCATGTGACTGTTTGTTGCAACATTGGAAATTTTATGGTTTTTTTCAGAAGTGCTAAATTTGCAACTTTCTCATTAATTTATATGCTGGACTGCATGGAGTTGTTTGCCCACACTAAATTCTGTAGTCTTGTAGGTTATCCCTTTCTTCTTTTTTTCCTTTTTTTTTTTTTTTTTAACAAACAAGAGGACAAGTACACTAAACTGCCCTTGACCTTTAAACTACTTTGTGAAGGGTGGCTGTAGTTCTGCAAGTGGCTTGTTCCCAGAGCTAACTGCTTTTCAGAATTAACAGATTTCATACTATCTCATCTGAGCAGAGTGAGAGAATGGCACTTGGTCAGTGTAAAGGGCCAGGCTGCTCTGGGATCTTGTCTGTGACAGGGACTAAACAGATGCTGAGGGAAACTATTGTGTCCCTACTATTCTCCAAACTATTCCTCAGATATTTGTGGCTCAGAGACTTCTTGACCCAGTGGTGGTGGATGTCACCTTAACAGGTTCTGATGGAATCCTTCTCCATAGATTTGCTCAGGCTCATGTTTGGTCAATTTTTCCTAGATCCAGTGCCAGTACATCATCATTACTGTCTGGTACGCATGAGAAGATTTGTCAATAAACTTCTTTGATGTTCTACTTTCCTCAGTCATTCTGCAGAGGTCCTGTTTTCTGCCTTTTGTTTGCTTTCCTTACAAATCTCTCCAGTTTTGGATGTATAATGACCAAAGTGTGGTGCAGTACTCCATACTAACCTCAGCAGTGCAGAGTACAGAGTAATAATCACCTCCCATGAAACACCAAACCTTTCAAATGTATTTGAGTCCATATAGACAGAAAAATCCTTTTAGATCTTTTTGCCCTAGCTATTAGGATGGCAAATGAAAATATTTGGTCGGATAGAGGAGAAATATTTATTCACTGTCAGCGGGATTTGGCTGGACAATGTTTTTCTTTGCTAACAAAACAAAAAGTTGTTAAAACAAAATGATCTCCCAACAGCTGCCACCTGGTCTAACACAAACTAAAGATGCCAAACAACACTTGTTTAAATTTCAATTTGACTTTGCAGAGCTTTTTTGGTCTCTGATGCAAAATATATTATCACACAAGAAACATGGCATTGGATATATGGATATCAGAGATCAAACCAAAGGCCTCTCAACCAAAGGCTAATATTTAAAATGCTTGGTGGTGTGCTTTATTCATTTTCTCATTATATTTAATTCTCTCCTGTATATGTGTTTATTTTGCCACCTGGAATTTTAAATGCTAAAAAATACATCCAATTTATTCAACTTGGAAATTTGTGCAGAAATCAGATAAGAGGTAATGGTAGTGCGTGGTAAGACACAGTCATAGCAAGGGGTAAAATCTACCTCCCATGAACTGCCCTTTGTAGATGGATAAAGCAATGTTGCTGGAGCTACAGCTGGATATGACACTGTTCTTGATGTGCTGCCTTCCCTTTCACACTGCTGTGGCTCAGATTATTGGCAGCTTATCAGAACAGAACTTGGCTCAGCAGGGTGAGTGCACTGTTAGCCCATGTTACACTGTCTGTATCGAACACAGGATTCTGAAAAAGCCCCTGCAATTAATAAACAAGGAAAAAGTTTCTCTGTTACAAAGTGGCTTATTGTAAAAGGGTTGAATGGGACCAAAACTTGACTACTTTCATGTGATCAGCATATCTTGACCCTTGTACCTTCTCAGCTTTAAATCTTAAAGGCCTCCTGGACAGTTTGCTTTAGAGGATGCAGTTCTATGACAGCTTAAATCACTTCATGTTCATGAAATCCAGTCCCTCTTCTAGGCTGGCTTTTGTGAGCACTCAGTGATCTAGGATATGGATAGGACTGGAAGTGCATCAGTGCTTTAACTTGCAGCTGGCTTCCTCAATCCTAATGAGGATGATGCCACTCATTACTTTCCTCACTCATTTTGATTTCTTTTGTTCTTGAGGCCTAGGCTGCCCCAAGACCATTTGTGTCTTACTCCCCAAAGTTTTTAGGAACTGTTTATGATACTGCCAGTAAAACTGAAATTATTGTGCATGTTTTTTTCTACCTACTAATTTCATCCTTCTGGACCCTCTGACATCCATGGTCCTCTCCCTTTACCACCACTTTTAAGAGGTTCAGATTTTAAAATAACACACAAATTCTTTTTATGTGTATTTGTAACAGAAATAACTAGACCTAGAGTTGTGTACTGACTTTCTCACTTGAGAACTGAAACAGAAGGCAGGCACCATAAATGGGGAATGTACAGTCAAAACAGAAATAATAATGTATAACAGCTCAAATTTATACCACACTCCTGGTGTATATTGACTCTTATAGGTAATTCTGGCTTACTGAAAAACATTTTACAGTTGCATTTTAAAAATAACTGCAACTCTATTACAAGGTCCCAAAATAAGTGTCATTAGTTGGCTTGATTTGTGCTCAAATCTTAATATTTAAAGATTGCTTCCTGACCTTCTCCAGCTGCGTGGATGAGAACTGAAAATAATCTCAGATTTCCAAAGAGAGAGCGACCAATCCTTTCCGTTACTTTGTGCTATTAAAGAAAGGTCCATTCCTAAACAAACAAAAAGAGAAATGTCAGTATCTTCAATAGCCATCACTGACAGAGAATCATGCATTTGATCTCAATAGAAGCACCATAAATGCAGGCTATTTATAATGCTTGATATCTGTGTTTCAATAATAATAATAATAGGCTTTAACTGCATTATGGGATAAAAGCCAGAAATGTACAAACTGTCCAGTAGATCTTTCATCCAAAGGCACAGCTGGTGAAATTTAAACAAGTTCATGTTGGCTGTTCCTGCACTGCTCAGTATGACATTGCAGTCCAAGCTTTTCATGTCCCAGCGTGGATGTTCACGGGTGGTCTGCAGGCACCTGTGTGCTTGAGGTCTGCAAAGCTTGCAGTGATCACAGAACAGTGCTGAGTGAAACCTAAATAGGAACAGGATGCTTCACAAATATTTTGGATTTATTGTCTGTCTTCCTCTGTTGTAGCATCCATGCTGTATGCAATCCCACTTGTGAACTTTTCCCTTCCTACCTTTCCTTTTCATAGGCCACACAAACCAGTTGAGGAGGGTTTTATAGTTTGTTTCTCACCTGTGGGACTATCTGTAATGCACCAGATAAGTTATCCCCCGCAGAAACTTAAACATTAGTGACCAAACTGCAAAAGATGGACCCTGGGCTGAAGAAGCTCTTCTGGTTTGACCACTTCTGCAAAGGGTTCTCCTGAGATGGGTGACCACAGGAGTGCTGAGCTAAGTGCGATGACTCTGCAGGTGTCTTTCAAAGCTCCAGTTTTTACTAAGTCTGACCTTTTCTCTGATTGTCTCTCTCTTCCCTCTTAGCTGCCTTCAGCTCTTCTCCAGCATTCTCTGACCAACTGCTGAGGAATTTGGCCGCTTTTTTCCGTTAGTTCTGAGGCCTTTTTCTAAACTTTATGAAATGATAGGCTAGAGGGAGTCCACGCCAAGGTGCTGCTGTGCATCCTCAGTCATAAACTCATAAACAGAAGGGTTGGTAGGGCTGCTGCAATGTCTGTCCTGACATTCCTTCCAGGAAGCTCTGACCTACATTTCAACCTGGCCTCCTGTTTCTTCCCACTTCAGAACTTCACTCCCAGGAATTTCCTTCCCTCCCTAATGATTGTAAGATGCTAATGCCTCCTCAGCAAGACTGACCCTCGAACACATGTTCTTCATTACACGAGCCTTACTTGTGCTTTCCCACAGGAGGGTGGCACAGGCATGGCTGAGTCTGCCTTCCCCTTAAAATGTTTGCTGCTTTCAGCAGTAGGGGCTGAACATGTACTCTCCAGCTGCTATGTTAATGTGCTTTGGCTCCACAGCTGCCTGATCTTGAGCTCAGAAAGCGCTGGGATCTAGCAGTTGTGCTTAAACCTTTCCCACTGGTAAAGAGCAGGTGTTGTCAGAATACAAGTATTACTAAATTTCCCTGAATAGAACCATTTTGAGTTTTTATTGAGGAGCATAAACAAATTATTTCTTAATTTAAGAGGTTTGAATAAGCTTTATAAATATATATATATGTGTGTGTGTATATACATACATACAGATATATATATGTATATACATACACACACTCCCCTTCATGATGTAAATGTGTATTGCCAGATGTCCCACTGCAAGGCTTGTCTAGCAAAGAGGCTGTATTTTTTTCATATCAAACTATCCCATTACTTACTTGAAAGGTAAACAAAAGCTTAATTCTTGCTATCCAAAGGCAAAAGAATGGTATTCTACCAAGCAAACTGTGGAAGTATTTCAAACCTGATTTTACATCTTTTATTAGAAAAGCTGCTTCACTTTGTTTTCACTTGTCAAGTCTTTGCACCTGAGCTGCTGTGAGTGCCTGTCATTTTCCCTGTCTTAAACATGTAAACAAATACATGTTCCTCAACATCTCCTGCCTGCTAGTCCTAGCATTTTCCAAAACAGGGCCTAAAGGCAGCATAGAACAAGGAACACAGGGAAGGGAAAGAAAAGAATCTTGATAAGCTGCTGCTTAATTGGCTAATAAATGAGAGCTAAAATGTGAGAGGAAATGTTCAAAAGAACAAACTGCAGCAAGAGACTTCTGGCAGGGCTACAGAGGGAAATCACATGATACATTCTGAAGTTTGCAGACACTGGGAAGGATCCACAGTTTCTTGTCCATGTGGAGACAGGAAACACTCACCAGACTGGTAGTCTTCAGCAGCTTTTTTTTTAAAACAAGCCTCTATTTTATCTGTGTTTCATTTCCATAGAAAGACTTGCTGGTTTTTGTGCTCTGTGCTCAAGCTCTGTATAATCAACTTCTGCATCTCTTCCTTTAAGTTCTGTGTGAAGTCAGTCTCCTTCCTTGCACTGCACTGAAAACCTGTGTGCTTTGGCTCTGCGGAGCCTCCCCTGCACCCGCCCTGCCCGTGGCTGATGCTGCTTTAAACAGGGTCATTCGATCAGCCTCCAGGAGGTTCAGATCAGCAGGTCCTTAAAGCAGGTATGAAGCCTGGGGGCTGGCTGTGCTAGGGCTCCAAGAACTCAAGTTCCGGGTTGGATGTAGGCAGTAGCAGGAAGACATTCCTGGATGCTGACCTTTTGTTGTGATAGGGCTTCCTGCCTATGACATTTCCCCAAATTATTTTGTTTCTCTTTTTTGTACTTCATTTACCTCCATTCTTTTTCCCATGGATATGAATTTGGACCTAAGGTCTTCTTTACGTATTTAATCATGTACATCACCAGGATTATTTTTAAGCCATTTTAAAATTTTTGCCTGGGTTTCCCCAGTTTCAGAAGTAGTTTTCTTAACTGTAATGCTAACCACTTTTAAAGTCTTTTTGGTTGCTATTATTTCTTCAGCATCTATAATAAAATTCTGCCTCACTAATGCCTGTATCATTTTTTCTCTTTATCCTGTATCCCTGACAGTTGTCTAGGTGGAGTGGATGTGGCTTATCCATCCTCCAATTAGTAATGATTGAATGGAATAGAGAACGCTTATACAGGGATGCAAAAATGCTGTATGAGCACTTTGCTTGATTTTTTATACAGAATTTTATTTATAATTCCACTTTCATCCTGAAGATGGAATTAATTTTAAGTAATCCTGGCAATAGTTTCTGCAGTATTTTTTGCTGACTCCTTGGTACAAGCACTTTAGTAATGAGCACTTGTTACTCTCTCCTGAATTAGTGATGACTGAAGAAAGAATGTTTTTCTATTGTGTCGTATGCTTCCCATTGTACCTTCCCCTCATCCTTCAGAGACCTCTGTGCTGTGGCAACTGTTGGCAAAACTCCTTTTAGCATCACCTAAATGCCTGTGTAGGTGGGGCTTTAGGAAGAAAATAATGTGTCAGTTGAGAACACTGGTAGCAGGTAGATCTTTAATCCAGGAATGGGGTTTAGGTGCTCTGCAGATGTATTCACTTGTGTGTGACTCCTAAGAGACAGACTTCCTTTGCAGGCTTCAGAAGTGCCAAAAGAGCAGCAACAGGACGGAGTCACTCCTTTTATCTGGAGCTTTTCCGTTCCCTGGTAATGCTTAGACTTTTGTATCAGCACTTATCAAAGGCTGTGTTCTGCTGCTGTTAGGAGTTGGGGCTCCTGTTCCCAACACCTCTTCCTGTAAATGTTCCCTGATTTGGTTTTAGGGTTAACAGCTACTGACCACTCTTCTCACTTAGGTATGACCACTCTCACCTAATTCACATCCTCAGGAAGGCAGGCTTTAGAGGTTACTGGGAAGAAGGGAAATAATTTGATCATGAAAGGCAAGAGGTGAGGTAGGAGTATTTTTTCTTTTGAATCTTGCTGCCAAATTGGTGCATAATTCATTGTGCAAAAGGTCTTGCTTAATGTTTGCTGTTTTCAGGTTTGTGTGTTTGTTTCCATATGGAATACTGAACAGATCCAATTGCTGCTGTTAGAAGGAGATGTCTGTCTACCAAAAAGGAATCCATAATGTTTTCCTTTACTTGGAGACTTCTTGAATGCTAAATTGCCTGTGTGTATACTTCATAATGTACCATATGCAAATATTCTTCAGGAATTGATACTACCACTTCAGTCAATATTTTCTATGTTAGAACTGTATGTTTCCTATACTGCCAAGAATGTATATATATCTATGAAGACTTAAGATTGTATCTTTTTGAGCAAGCCTCTTTCTTCAACCATCTGAAACTTTCTTCCTGTTTCTCAAGTTTTCTGCTAATTTATTAGACTCTTGTGTTATATTGTGTACTTTTTGTATCAGTTGTATTGCTGTATTTCTTCTTTCTCTCATTAAAACCTGTTCTTCTCATCCTTCTACTGTGCTGCTTCATATTGGAAGTACTCACACCATATCAATTAACAGATCTAGTGTAGTGGGTCAGCCTGAGGTGGATCCAGACCAGTCCTAAAAAGCCAATCATTCAGACATTATCTTGTCCCACTGATCCCAAAACATAATCAGGTTTATTGTATTAAGCTTAATTTTGCAGCACAGTCTGTACTTTTACAATATATCAAAGAAGAAACCTGGAATGGGACTCTCAAGGTATAAACAAATGGACAAGTACAAAAAATGTACTGAATTATGAAGCCCATAACTCTTATGGATGATTGTTTCTGCCTACATTTATTAAGATATTGGTGGGCTTCCTGAGGGAAGCAAATTTTGAGGAGAGATTTGGAAGAGGATTCGAAGGGCTATTTTTTCCTAGAAATATGGCCATCAACTTAAGTTAGTCAGTTATCTGTGCCATCTCCATGCTTAATTCATCGGACAGGTAAATGAAAAAAGTGAATGCGGGTTAGGACCTGCATTGCTTACTTCCATTAAAGAAACAGCTGATTTACAAACAAGAAAATGCTGTCTCACAAGAAATACTGTCTCATAAGAAATGACTCCATGAACAAATAATGCTTTTTTATCCTCCCAGTGAAAAGCAAGATTTTAAGTGTTTCACTGATGTTAATTCCTTTTTAGCAGTGCA